CTTCGGTGGATATTAAAATTGTTCCAGTGCCTAAATCACCGAGTGTTAAGTTTACACCTATTACTAGTATCCCTCCATTTTTAAAAATAATGGAAAAACTGTTTTCACTTAACCTCGAACATTCATTGAAGGCTTTCAATGATTCTAAACAATTTGCTCATAAATATGGTAAGTATAATTTAAATGTTACTATTGTCTTTCGTCATAATATCTCAAGTTTAGACAGTAGTGCCAAATATGTTTGGTGTGCCTCCTTTGAATACACATCCACCGTCAACTCGGTACCTGGGCCCATTGTTTCAAGCAAGCTCGCGACAAAAACAGTAAGGCGCTGGCTTAATTGATGTTTGTATTCTTACTTTTTTTTTAGGAAGCAGCAAATGCTGTATATAAGGGGAAATCCCCCACTACTTTAATTATTCTAGGCGGTGTTCCTCAAGTTGGTGCTGTTCTATCTCCTGTTCTACCTTCTTTCTTCCTACACGACATGCCTCATTCTAATGAAACCAATATTTTCTACGTATGCCGATGATCCTAATGTTTCCATACCGGTCTCATCTCAATCAGATTGTTCCTAAATGAACGACTTTTTATCAGAAATTCGTCAGTGGCCCTTGTCGAATGGTTTTAAGCTAAATCCCTCCAAATGTCAGAATGTTAACTTCGCTTTCAGACACAAGCGCGACTTACATGAACTGGTTCGTTCTCATAATTCTGGTGTCAGAGATGGCACTGAATTTGAAACTAATTTGAATGTTAAATACCTTGGATTGTCTATTTCCTCTGGTCTTTCCTGGTCTTCCCACATCATGTTAGTTTCTAGAGAGACATTTTTTTCAACGTTCTACGTAAGGAAGTTAAGACAATCTAGTGTCACTCAATCTCTATTGTTAAGGTTTTTTAATTCTTGTATTCTACCTATTCTTCTTTATTGCTCCCCCTTAATCTTTCCTGGGCTACTTAAGAAAGACTTTGTTACACTGTGAAGGATACTGAAAGCTCTCTAGCAGGGCGAGTTGATGGGTGTCGTTAAACCAACTTGTTAATACTGTTGTAGACAGACACATGGACTCATGCATGAAATTAGCGAATATTACCTTGTCAGACCTTGAGCATCCTTTCTATACACAACTCTCTCTTTGCATCTCATCACGTGGGACTAGAAGCAACTACAGAAGACTTGATGCTCGGAGGACAAAGTATAAAAACTCTAGGATACCTTATTCGGGACACATTTTATGTGGTGAGAGGAGTGAGAGGAGGCATGACACTACTAACTTACTGAGAAACACTAAGTAAACGGTTCTCTTTATTTTTTCTTTCATCGTTTCTCAATATAGTTTCTCAATATGATTATTATCATTATTGATGTTCATGTCTTGACATGGGTGTTGTCTTTGTGTTGGTATCATTTTAAAAATAAAAAGATAGTGTATTGACACACCTCTACTCAGAAAATAGTTGATTGTATATCTATGGACATTAATGTCATTTACGCTTACTTAAAAAAATATTAATTAACTATCTGCTAGCGTAACAACTGAAGTCATTGAAACTCTAGTTTTTTATATAATAATAATAATAATTTGAAATGAATGGGATTTTAATATATTTTGTGTACACTAGCAAATATTGAAAGCACGTTGACTAATGTGGTAAAATTAGTGATTGACAAATACAATATTTGTTGTACAAAGGTGTTAAAAATATTAGTTTTTTGTCTAGAGTGTAGACATACATTGAAGTGTGAATTTATTGACACCATGCCATGTCAGTTAATCGCATAAATGTAGACATAAACTATATTACTATTGATTGTTTGAAATGAGTAATTCTATGTCACTTAAATCAGCCAGCAGTAATGTTCACCAGTCAGATTGAAGTGATCTAAACACCATGGGACGGTTGTTTCGTTCATTTGAATCTGATCTGATCAGTGATGTGCGCCCGGTTTAACTCAGCTTAGACAGGTGAATCAGTTCAATCAACAATATGTCAAGCTTTATTATTTATTTTGATTTTGATTTACAGCTTGATTCCACACCGTATTTTCAGTACAAGTGTGGAATTTTCAGCATGGATATCGGTAGCCCAAATTCAGGCCGACCATAGATATCGGGTGTGCGCCGGCAGGGGATCGAACCCCGGACCATGTGCATGGTCGGCGAGAGTCCTAACCACTGTGCCACCGACGCACAAATATGCTGATTCTATTATAATTACCATTTATGTCATCAAGCAGATCACAGTATATGCGATCTAAATGATTTCGGTTTACAAAGGAAACTATAGTGACATTTCACCTCCTCGAAGTGTTTGAATTGCAAATTATGAATTCGGTTAGTCGATAAACCTAACGGAAAATGATGTGATGGGAATGTGTTTCATTGACTTAAGCACTTGACTTCCAGCTAGTAGGCCATGGGTTCGAGTCCTGCTATGCCTACGTCAGCCTTCGTTACTAGATAGTATTGTCAAATCTCACACACTACAATGTAATATCTGATATTAGATAAAGTCTATTAACAAGAAGCTTAGTATTACATAGGATTCGTGTTTATTGACTGGCATGTATGGGTAAAACATATCTGTGAATAATTACTTGATTACCACAGCTTCGCATCACAAGTCTTCATACACTGAAATAAACCCATGCACAGACGTAAACAGGACGACACACTGAGATGCAAGTAGAAACACTTTTTCACGGGTGGGAGTGCACGCACCCATAGCTATACAGACGTCAGTGTGCATATTTAATTCACTTTTATACGATGTGTCGGTGGGAGCATGAGTATACAGATAGTGGAGTTCTCCTCGAAAATAGAATTTCCACATAAATCTCATGGTTTACTTTTTGATACCGAAATCAGTGTGAAATTTGATAAAGCTGAGGATAATTCACACTCTGAAAATCAAGAGTAGTTTAGCAAGTAATCAGTGTATGAATGGAGTATTTTATAAAATACCTTGTCTAAAATTTGAATCAAGAATTATGAAGCGTGAATTTAAACATATAACTGGAAATATCTAATAATGTAATATTTTCATAAATCTCAAAATAAATGCATCCTTTGAATAAAGCAAGAACGAAAGTGGGTTGTGCAGAATAATATGGTACCATCATTTATTTCGTAGGCTTCTCATCAGCTGCTTACAGCCTAAATACATAATGAGGTTTGCGTACAGAAAAGTTTTAACATACTTGCAAATTTTTACATGTTGCCAGTTGACAAAAAGTTCCACAGTAAGTGAACAGTGCTCAGAAAATTGCGCTTATATAGTTTTTACACATGCAGTTCAAGTGTAAACAAAATAGATGTATGCATACAATGGTAAAGGAGTTACGTAATAAAGACGAAATATGAGTTAGATACAGAGTGACTAATAAATTAGGTAACAATGTACTGAGTTCAACTCAAATCATAGAAACAAGAGACAAGCAAAATTACAGAATATAAAAGGGGGTGAGGTTAAAGACAAAGATTACGTAATCAGATGAGAGAATAAAGACATTCAGTTACCAGGGCAAAGAGAGATTAATAACTGCTTCTTTCTGAACACATAAATCTGGTTTCAAGCGTTTGATAGAGATTGCTTCGGCAAACTTGAGGAGAATGGAACTCCTTTGTCTATTGATAATTTTAAAGGATTTCTCGATTTCTACCTCATGACCCGTGTCGAGAAGATGTCTAGTGATAGCGCTGCTATAAGAGTTTGTTCCCTTGAGACGTAGGCTTCTTGGCACATGTTCAGAAAATCGGAGGTGTGCCCTTCTTTCTGTTCTCCCAATGTAACTGCTCCCGCAGATACACGTAAATTTGTATACACAGTTGGAGTTAACATGAGAAGGGTATCTATCGACTTTTGACTGCACCAAAGAGCATGTTGTTCGATGGTCAACAGAAGACTGAGAACATCACTAGCCAGAGCCTATCCTCCAGCTAAGTTGGTTCCCGTCCATCGAACAACATGCTCTTTGGTGCAGTCAAAAGTCGATAGATACCCTTCTCATGTTAACTCCAACTGTGTATACAAATTTACGTGTATTTGCGGGAGCAGTTACATTGGGAGAACAGAAAGAAGGGCACACCTCCGATTTTCTGAACATGTGCCAAGAAGCCTACGTCTCAAGGGAACAAACTCTTATAGCAGCGCTATCACTAGACATCTTCTCGACACGGGTCATGAGGTAGAAATCGAGAAATCCTTTAAAATTATCAATAGACAAAGGAGTTCCATTCTCCTCAAGTTTGCCGAAGCAATCTCTATCAAACGCTTGAAACCAGATTTATGTGTTCAGAAAGAAGCAGTTATTAATCTCTCTTTGCCCTGGTAACTGAATGTCTTTATTCTCTCATCTGATTACGTAATCTTTGTCTTTAACCTCACCCCCTTTTATATTCTGTAATTTTGCTTGTCTCTTGTTTCTATGATTTGAGTTGAACTCAGTACATTGTTACCTAATTTATTAGTCACTCTGTATCTAACTCATATTTCGTCTTTATTACGTAACTCCTTTACCATTGTATGCATACATCTATTTTGTTTACACTTGAACTGCATGTGTAAAAACTATATAAGCGCAATTTTCTGAGCACTGTTCACTTACTGTGGAACTTTTTGTCAACTGGCAACATGTAAAAATTTGCAAGTATGTTAAAACTTTTCTGTACGCAAACCTCATTATGTATTTAGGCTGTAAGCAGCTGATGAGAAGCCTACGAAATAAATGATGGTACCATATTATTCTGCACAACCCACTTTCGTTCTTGCTTTATTCAAATTCATCAAGGGGAATAAATGCATGAAATGTATCCTTATAGGTATGTACTACTTGTGAGTAGTATAAAAGTATTTAGTAAAAATTGTAATTTAATATTTAATTTTGAAACTTAACTCTTTATTGATGAAAATAATCATAAAGTTGATTATACTAATCATATTTAATACTACGCTGAACATACTTATTTTCTTATCTATATATATTATTTCCGTAGAATTCATCGTATTTGTTGAACTCATTAAGAAGTCTACAACAATGTGTGTACAATAATAACAACATATCCTCGTTGTGTTTAGTCATTCAGATTCGTTCAGACAGTGGAAGTTCTCAGGTTGGTTAGTTATATATTTATAACTTTTATCAAGATTGATAAATATTGCTTTACTATTGTTTTGTATAATTTAATATAATCCAGATCAAAAATATGGCCTTTCTTGTGGTTTTGGACCGAATCTACCCAGGGTCTGCCTAGTGGATACAGTTCTGTAAACCTAAATAACTGCATTCGGTATTTAGAAGTGAATATATACCATATTCGGTTTAATTCACAGGCATTAGTATCTAGTATGAATGGATACAACTGACTGGTTTCAATATAGGAGTTTGCACAGAAGTGCAGCAGTACGAGTTGTCACACTCCATGAAGCACACAAAAGAAAACAAAAAGCCAGTCTGTTGGTTTTCGCCTGTAAGTCTTCGAGTTTGTGTGACATTAAAAATAAATCATACATGCGAGTAATCCAGATCTTCTAGAGTCTTCTTATTGGTGGTCCAGCGTGGTCCTGTCTTCTCACTCCTCACAGTCTGACGCATAATCCAGTCCACCACAATTAGGAATATCATCGGCGATAATAGGCAGGCAGCCAGCTTGTCTTACTCTCATATTAACTTCGAACGCCTCACTGCGTTTCCCGTTGTGAATCAACTGACACATGACATTGTCATGTAGCTGTTTAGTGAGTTTAGTGAAGACTTGGGGCACCCCATAGTGTTGAAACAATTTCCAAATTACTTCTCGGTCAACGCTGTCGAAGGCATTTCCGAAGTCGATGAAGTTAAGATACAGGTTTGACTATCTTTCGATGCTTTGTTCTGTGATAAAGATGCGGAGAGTTGCAATTTGAACAGCACATGTTGAAATATATATATATATATATATATATATATATATAAAATATTATTATCTTTATTTTTCAGAGATGGCTTGCTCGTCAACGTTCTGATCCATTTGTTAAACGTGCACGAATTGAGAGTTATAGATGTCGTAGTGCATTTAAATTATTACAGCTAAATGATAAAATTCACGGAGGATTATTTAAACCTGGTGATATTGTTGTCGACTGTGGTGCTGCACCAGGATCTTGGTGTCAAGTTGCTTCATCTTTTGTCAATCCTAGTCTAATAGGTAATCATAGTGGGAGGAGGAGGAGGAGGAGGCAGTGAAGAAGACAGACGAAATTCTGGTTTAGTCATAGCATTCGATTTATTACCATTTGCTGATCTACCTGGAGTTATCTCATATCCTGGTACTGATTTAAACAATTGGTCTGAATGTGTAGATTTAATCAATCAATCAGTTTTAAATCATTTAACTAACAATAGACACTCTCATAATGGTCGAAAAGATTCACTTCCAGCTGTTGATATTGTTCTAAGCGATATAGCGCCAAATGTATCTGGAATGCGAGATATCGATATACCAGCAATGATGAAATTAGCTCTCAATGTATTACGTGTAAGTTTGTGCAATTTTTTTTTTTTTGAGTAGGCGTTTTCTTATTTTTTATATGAAAACAATACATTTTTTACAGGACTTTATCATGAGATGACACCAGTTAGAGAACCACTGGAAAACCTGGGAGTACTGGACAGCTGTTTCGCCCTAGTTTGGGACTCTTCATCAGTACACACCCACCATGGTTCGAACTCAGGACCTTCTGGCTACAAGGCGAGCTCGTAGACCATTAAGCTACTGTGACCCGATCACCTGTGGTTCTAGTGGGAAGTCGTGACCAGTAGGGTACAGCAAGTCGGAAGAGAGGATAAATACTCGCCGAAGACATTGGCTAGTGGTCCCGCTATGTCGTGAATTGGCAGAAGTTAGAATTCATGGGATGCCCATTGGATTGGGTCTCACTGGCTTAATGGTCTATGAGCTCGCCTTGTAACCAGAAGGTCCTGGGTTCGAACCCTGGCGGTGGGTGTGTACTGATGAAAAGTCCCAAACTAGGGCGAAACAGCTGTCCAGTACTCCCAGGTTTTCCAGTCGTTCGCTAACCAATGTCAGCTTATAATGAAATCCTGTAACCAATCAAATCCCTAAAAACCAACACTTGAATACATTTTTTGTTATCATGCCTTTGAATTCCTAGTGGAACATAATTCAGGATTTCAAGTGTCAGTAGTGTTGCAGTTGTTTTTTTCTACAGGCTGTGGTTGCTAGACTCACGCCCAAACCTCTCTTTTCCAGGCTCCCTATTGGCTTGTCAGCTAAGCGAGGTTTAGGAGTGCATCAACTGGGAGTCGAGCCCAGACCTCTCGTGTAGTTGGTGAACATTCTATCGCTGACCCCATCGATGCACTGAAAATAATGCTTAATTTCATTTTTCTGATTTATTATTTGTTGTTTCAAATTTCAGTCGAAATCCCAGTAGAACACATACAATGGTGTAGTCAATACATAATTACAGTCTATTTGTTTTTGTCACTATTCACTTATTATGTAGGTAAACTCTTCTCACGTATACTGTTAAAGTTTTATACTATTCTTACTCTGAATGAATGGTAATAATAATGGCTTTATTCCAAACAATACAATGTGTACTATTCAGCATGTAATATACAATATTCCATCTAATTTTCTCCTTACAATGGTAGTAATTAAAATAGAACATTTCAATCGATAATATTCTTAAATATAAATATGAATTTAAGGTTGAATTGGAAATATGAACAACAATATATATAAATGAAAGAAAGAATAAAGAGAACCGTTTACTTAGTGTTTCTCAGTAAGTTAGTAGTGTCATGCCTCCTCTCACCACATAAAATGTGTCCCGAATAAGGTATCCTAGAGATTTTATACTTTGTCCTCCAAACATTAGTCTTCTATAGTTGCTTCTAGTCCCATTTGATGAGTTGTAAAGTGAGAGTTGTGTATAGAGGATGCTCAGAGTCACATAAGGTAATATTCGCTAATTTGATGCATGAGTCCATGTGTCTGTCCACACCAGTACTAACAAGTTGGTTTACCGACACCCCATCAACTCACTTTGCTGTAGAGAGGTTTTAGTATCCTTCACAGCATAACAAAGTCTTTCTTAAGTAGCCCAGGAAAGATTAAGTGCGAGTAATAAAGAAGAATAGGTAGAGTACAAAAATTAAAAAAACCTTAACAATAGAGATTGAGTGACACTAGATTTTCTTAACTTCATTACGTAGAACGTTAAAAGGAATGTCTCTCGAGAAACTAACACAATGTGAGAAGACCAGGAAAGACCAGAGGAAATAGACAATCCAAGGTACTTAACATTCGACTTAGTTTCAACTTCAGTGACATCTCTGACACTAGAATGATAGGAACGAATCAGTTCACGTAAGTCGCTCTTGTGTCTGAAAGTGGAATTAACAGTCTGACATTCGGAGGAATTTAGCTTCAAACCATTCGACAAGGCCCACTGAAGAATCACTGATAAAAGGTCGTTGATTTTGGAACACCTTGATTAAAATGTGACCGGTATGGAAACATTAGGGTCATCGGCACATGTAGAAAATATTGGCTTCATAAGAATGAGGCAAGTCGTGTAGGAAGATAGAAGACAGAAAAGCAGAGAAAAGAGCACCTTGAGGAGCACTGGCTAGAATAATTAAAATAGTGGGGGATTTCCCATTATATGCTGCTTCCTATTAGTAAAGTAAGAATACACCCATTAATTAATCCAGCACCCTACCGGTGTTGTTGCAAGCATGTTTGATATAAAGAGGTCTAGGTACAGAGTTGAAGGCAAATGTGTAATCAAGGAAAGCCCATCGAACGTATCTGGTACCACTGTCTAAACCGGAGAATATATTGTAATTTAAGACAACAGTGGGCATCTAAAGTACACCTATCATGTTTCTAAGCAAATTATTTGAACTCATTGAAAGCCTTCAATGAATGTTCGAGATTAAGTTAAAACAGTTTTTCCATAATTTTTAAAAATGGTGAGGTACTAGTAATAGGTGTAAACTTAACACTTGGTGATTTAGGCACAGGAATAATTTTAAAATCCACCGAAGAAGCAGGTGCAATGTTTGTGGAAGTTGACTCATTGAAAATTCCAGTGAGATAATGACATAAAATGTCCTAACATTTCCTGAGTATGATAGCGGCTGTGCCATCTCAACCAAAGGATTGTATAGGTTTCAAGGATTGAAGATATTTGATCATCATGGTTGCTAATTGGAAGATCGACCGTGATAAATTGACTATGCAGATGACGACTGTAACCCTGGAATAATTCTCACGTATATTTTAGACATTTTCCGTTGATTATTAACGTTCCTACACTCCTTAATGTTACTTTTCTGTTGTCAGGAGGATAAGCTGATGAATGTTAGTTTCAAAGTCTCACACTGTGACACTAGTTTGGTACAGTTAGTTTAAACTCATGGAATAGAATAATCTTATTATGTTCTAATCGTTCTTCAGTTCAACTTAGAAAGGAAACAGAATGGAAGAGACGAAACTTTAATCTTCCAACACCATATTCTCACTACAACTTCATTATTCTTCATATTGCGTAAACGGCTCAAACAACAGGATAAGAGATTCTAGCACTTACCACCTGGCTGGTGAAAATACAGAATTCATGTAAGTGTGCTAGAAAACCGTGACTCGAAAGAAATGGTACACACGGGCTTGAAAACCCGAAGGGGGGTATATTCATATCAGTCTGCTTCGGTCATCGGCAGCCATAGAAATGCAGCCTACTGATTATGTCAGTCAGATTTAAAATTCGAAGCTCACACAGAGGTGCTTCAATATAAGCACTGAGCAATAGCTAAGCCTTCAAACGAATTTTGAAACAACAATCCAATGGGAAAGCTCATTTCAGTCAAACGATCGTGCAACTTACCAGTGTTATTTCTTCCTTAGAAAATATGTTTAAAATGTACGTACATCAGCCACATTGTTTTATTTCTTTCACCTTTGAATTTGTTATCATCTTTACCTCTTGTCGGTGGTTCAGCGGTAAAATGCTCACCAATCACCCATGTGGTCCGGGGTTCGATCCTCGGCTGATGCATTCCTAAAAAAGTCGCTGCTTAACCGGTAGTAATTACGGTCTAGGGAGAGAGAAGATTGGGCGTGAGGCTAGCAACCTAATCTCTATGAAAAAAGAACTGTACAACTTCTACTGAAACTTGAAGCGCTACGTCCCATTGGTCGTTGTTCGATATCTCATTCTGTTGTACCCTAATTGTCTAATTGATCTCTTCCTTATATCTGTTGCTAAAATATTTCATACAGCACATTTCTTGATGCTTATACTGTACCATATTTGTCCTCAACCATTAACACTTCACATGATAATACTCATTTGATCTGTGTAAACATTATTTTGTGAATAATAATTCGATCGTTCTTCTTACTGTTCACTTATAAGTAACACAATGAGTCTTTTTTATTGCAAAGCATAGGGTGTTTCATGTTTAAAAATAAGGTTAAAAAGAAATGCGTCGTGAGAATGAGTGTGAGATTAGATTTTGTTGTTGGTATGAGGGCTGGGATAATGCCTAGGTGCCTTGATCGAAGCAGGTGGTTGTCTTAAGTGACCACCTCCCGAGCCTTTGACATGGAGTCTCATCCGGAAGGCAGTAGAGCATCGTCAGGAGCTAATTTCTCATGGTTGCCGGTGACAAATACAGGTTCATACGCCATTCGATCCGTTTGGATTCTGGAGTTCATGTGCACCGTAGTAACTGCTTTTAGTCTAACAGTTATCCAAACAAACTTCCTGGTATGGTAGGACTTTCAGGAACATAAGCCTCAGTCAGTGTAGCTTGCTAGGTCACTGCGGTATGCAAGCCCCACCACTGCATCAAGGCAGTAGTGTTGGTGGCTTGAACATGGACAAATATCACCCGAGAAGTTTCCGTACCGGTGTCTGCTCGCTAACCCTGGGTGGGATGTAAAAAGCGGAGAGGTGGTCAGCCCATGACGCGGTGCCGTGGGATGAAGCATATTTGTGTTAGGTTAGCATCGGTTGGTACATTACAACTTCCTGGTTGAGGTTAGAGAGATAGCTCGGATCGTTATCGGATATATAGCCAAGAATCTTAGTCAATGGCGAACATACTTCAATTTCCTTCTCTTTCTAACATTAATACGATGAATGTTGTTTGGTCTTCCTTACTGAATGAAGGTTTTTTTATGACTTATAGTAATCACATTTAGGTACAACAAATACCTTTGGGGACATAGCCCATTGGGTTCAGCGCCTGATATTTAATCCTCCGGTTCAGGGTTCGAATCCCCCTCCACAGTGAGCAACTGTGTAGGTACTTGTGGTTATCATCAGTCATCACAGAATTGCTTTAGTTCACAGCCTAGTAACCAAATAAATGTTTCATTTTTAATGTTTTACTTGATCATATTCTTATTTTTTTTTTTCATATGATAAACTTATCTCTTAAAAATGAAATTTTCCTTTTAAGGTTGCAATCAGTGTTACAAGGCAAGGTGGTAGTCTTGTCATCAAGCTATTCGAAAGTATAGAAGCGAAAGAATTTAAAGAAACAGTTTCACAATTCTATTCACTGAATTCTACATCATTTACACGTTTTATTAAACCACAAGCAAGTCGTAAAGAATCATCAGAAGTATATTTAGTCGCTAGAGGTTTTCAATTACCACAAAGTAGTGTACAGAAAAGTTAAGTTAACAATGCCTTCTGATTATTATCCTTATACCTTATGTGTACATATATATAATTTTGAAAAAAAAAAACTCTGTACTACTACCTAATAAAATTATGATTTGTATTCTATTTGTTAAACTGTTCATTAGAAAAATATTCTCAACAAACTAACCACTTGAAGATTAATCCAAGTGTGTTGTGATAATGTTAATGACAGCTAACCTTCCTGGACAGTTGATGGCTTTCATTATAGTTTTACTTAGCCATAGTGGTAGCTGTTCTCGAGCCCGTAAAACTAGGCTAGCTGAAGCTTATATTTTCGAAATGACTGCTTGTAATTCCTCAGCCTACTAGGATCATTTTGACAACATTAGGCAGTTCGTATGAATTTTTATTGAGTACTTTTAACTAGGTAGTGGAAATGTCGGCTATGCAAGAATTATATCCAAGGAAACTTTAGATTCATCCAACGAACTATATATGATATCTAGTTTTACTTGTTAGGCTCCATCACGAACCAACACCAATTAGACTGAGATCATTGAACACCAGGGACCACTAGACAGCTTTTTGTCCCATTTGAGGACTCTTCATCAGCACGACCCTGTCAATGATCGAACGCAGGAGCTCCGTTTACAAGATGAGCTTGTGACTATTCAACCAGTTTGGGCCGGAACTCAATAACCCGTGAATTATAACTTTTAACGACTCATGTGATATAGCGTTACCCTCACTTGTTTTCGTCGATAAGCGTCCAACTCACCTTGATATGGTGGATTCTACTAGCCTCGAGTTTTCACTACATTACTTCAGGACATCCGCCCAGTAGCCATCAATAAACTCAAGATCGATAGTTAGCTAATTGGGTTTTGGTTCGTGACGAAATGTAACAGTCGTAATTTATTCGAAATTCTGTAGTCTAAATATGATGCTTAGGTTATTATTTCACTGGAATGCATGCACACGCACATCGAATAAGAATAAATCAAACTAAACTATCTAACTAGTTATTTATTATCGAGTATTGGTCTGCTGGAATTTGAGTGGTTACAGAAGTGATCATGGGCTGATAATAGTAAAAGAACCAGTTTCGCCCCAGTTTGGGGCTCTACATCGACACGCACCTGGCGGTGTTCCAACCCAGGACCGCCCCGTTACAAGGCAAGCTCGTAGAATATTCAGCCACTGGAGCTCAATCCAGTAGTCCATGAATTCCAACTTCTGCTGATTAGCGTAACCGACTGGTGTGTGCGTGCTGATGAAGAATCCCAAGCAAGGACGAAATAGCTGTCTAGTACTCCCTGATTTTCTACATGTTGTCTAATTGATATCAGCTCATGAACAATCCTATAGGTATTTATTTCACGTTTGTAATTTCCCGTTGATATACATTTATTTGGAGATCGATTAGGCTATTTTTTGTTAATAGACTCATTGAACAAATGATAGATATTGTTAGGATTAAGAAGTCGAAGTTACATGTTCAGTAGTGACTGACAGTTGAATCCACAACATGGGTTTCGTCCCATTCATGATTCATCAGCTTAGTGGGTACTTTATCCTTAATCAGAATAGAACGCAGTACCAATCGTTTCAAACTTTAAAACGTTATCCCATCAACAATTGTCTCGAAAACAACAGAAGGTAGTTAGAAAAAAATATTCTGATTGAATTACTTTCAATTCTTTCATATGCGTCGGTAGTTGCTCAGTCCTTTACGGCTGCGAGACCTGGCCATTGAGAGTGGAAGATATGAAAAGATTAGCTGTCTTTGATCATAGGTGTCTGCACTCCATCTCCCGTGTGAAATGGTATAATAGGGTGAGCAATATTGAGGCTAGGCGTCGAGTGCTAGATAAAGAGGGGAAATCAATAGACAAACCTATGGAGCTACATCGACTGAGATGGTTAGGACATGTGTTACGTATGCCTAGTCATCGCCTTCCTCGACAATGGGCAATGTTAGCTAACATAAGGTCAGGCTGGAAGAGAGCTAGCGGCGGTCAAACCAAAACATGGCACCAGTCAATGAAATCCACAACAGTTAGTTTAAGCCAGCCAGCCACGTTGGAAGGTGTAGACTTCCTGGTTAGGGTCATCGGGACGGTAAAAACCAATGACTGGAAACAATTGGTGATATGGCTCAAAATCGTTGTCAATGGCTGGTGCAGATGCATCCACTCCTTGTGACTTATGATTTCCAATTAAACTGTTTTGTTCTTCGTTATTACTATACCTTTGTCTCACACCTTAGTTTGCTGTCTCTATTATGTATTTCTTATACTTTCCTCTCTTGCTTTGTGTGCTACATGGAGTGTGGCGACTTGAACTGCCGCACATCGGCGCAAAGTTCTATGTCGAAAACAGACAGACAGACTTTGTTCAGTGGTAGAATACTCTCCAACCACGTAAGTGAATCGGAGTTCGATTCCTGGCTGACGACGCACTTCTTCACCTCTCCTCTTAGTCAATAATAAGACCGATAGAAAAAAAGGAATGTTCGGGGGTGAGACTAGTGTAACCCCACCGCGTAAAAAAAAGAATAGTACAACTGCTACAGAAACTGTAAAGCGTTAGCTTGAAGCAGCCCTATGTTCTACTCAGAATACAAAATATATAATAAAATACTGTAAAAATAAACTTCTAATCGTAATAGGGTATAATATTATAAATAAAAAAAGGAAGCTATCGTTTTTTCATTGTCAGAAGAAAAGCAGACTATAATTATAATTATTAAAATCTTATCACATTTAATATATATATGAGATAAAGTCATCTGTTTACAACGGTAAAAGTAATAAAATACACAGACACGTGGGGCTAGGTAGTTGGGGGAAGACATTGGGGGGTGGGACATTCACTTGGAGAAAGAAAATACAGGTGTTGAATTCATTCAATTGTTTGCTGTATCAGATCAGTGAAAGCAACAGCGTTAAAAAACAAAATCACTTAAAAAATATTACCAAAATTGATAAATGAATAAGCAAAACAGAAAGAAGAAGGACTGGGTGTGGGGGGGGATGGGTAATGTAAAAAAGAGAGAAAGAAAGAAGGCATAGGAGGCACTATGGATTTCCAATTCCCTGATTGTGAGCTTTTTGCATATGTTCTGCAAAACTGAAATAGGAAACGAAACAACAACAAAAAAAGAAAAATAATTAGACTAGAGAAAACAAATGGTGAATTAGAAGCTTTTAGTAAATGATTCAGTATGTTGATTTTAGCTGCCGTGGCACTATATATATACTGACAATAGGTAGAAGTTAGAATTCATGGGGATTGGCTAGTGACTATATACGTTTGCCCTGCAATCTGAAGGTCCTGGGTTCCACGCATAGCGGCAAGATCATGGGTACGTACTACAGAAGAGCCCCAAGTAAGGATGAGACAGCTGTCAGTTTTCAGCAGTACTCTAGCTGATGTCAGCACTTGTGATGTAACTTGAAATCAATCAAATCCCTGCAAACACCAAGTCTTGGAAATTATTTCACGCGCCTGATGGAATGAGTTGAACAAGGAAATTTCGGCACAGGAAAAGTGCATCACACTTATAGAGCAGTCTTGACATGCGTGGAGATGTGGCATAATGGATTAAGCATTTGACTTTCAGTCAGTGCGTCCCATGTCCAAATCCTGCCCGACCTACCTCGGCCTGGAGCAACTGCATAGTATCACTAACCAGCACGAAAAGTAAGTGGGTCTCAAAACCCAATACTGGGTAACTGAGTTCTGTCAACTAACCAACCAACGGTCTTAGTATCCATTTGTCCATCAGGAAGAATCCAATTGATTGTTCTATAGTATGTTTGAAAATCTATGTTAATTGTGCTTACATGTAGTGGTAAACAACCGATATAGCTTTTACATATACTTATGAATAGCATCTTTTACTTACAAAGAGAATCATATTATTATTACTCCATAATGGATAAGATTTTATTTTAATAAATCACACAGTGTTGTACAGTTAAATTAACTGATGACGTTTCGAGCACAAACTATTGCTCATAATCATATCAAGTACACAACATATTATTATTATTATATTGGTTTAGAGAAACTCGTTAGAGGTATCCACTATTTTAAATATTTTTTTGATTACAGCTTGATGGCACATCCTATTTTTGGTAAAAGTATGGAATTTTCAGCATGTGATATCGGTAGCCCAAATTTTGCAGGCCGACCATTGATATATGATGTGCATCAGCAGGGGATTGAACCCCGGACCATCTGCATGGTCGGCGAGAATCCTTTCCGCTGTACCACCGACACACATTATTACTTATATTATTACGGAAGCTAATATACTAATCAGAGTAAGAAAGACCAGATTTGCAGTATAAAATGATGTCGTCATTCTATTTCACAGGTTCTCATCAACTGCACACCACTACCTGAAATTACAATGGTTATATAGGTTGATAATAACATACTTTAATGTTTAAGTGGTAGTAGAGAAGAAATACTATAAAACTGACGCATCCAAAATGTAAGCATTACAATTTTTAGTTTAAGTTTTCATCATGAATTTGTACGCTTTCAAAGTAGAAAAGAGGGGGGAGGGGTAAAACAGAAAACAGAAAAAAATAATTAACAGAGCAGTATTAGCTTGTAGGTTCACATGGCAACTCAAAAAACAAAAGCGGTTACAGTTTATGGGATTAAGATTTGTAAGATTGAGATTTGCTCAGTGAGAGAAATAAACACTTTCTTCTTTTCTACAGTTGGGTGTTTTTCTCTGCTTTACTTTTGTATAAATCCCTTTGGGTATCCATTTTCTCTTAGGCATTTCTAAACGATCGAACAGTTGAAAAGTCCATCTACAGAAAACAAACCTGGACTGGGCAATACCTTCACTACAACAGCGTCTGCCCTATAAGCTATTAGCGGGAATTAATAAGGACACTGTACGAAAGAGCCAGGTAGCTATGTTCACCGAACAAGTTGGAGGAAGAATTAGGTTTCGTTGAGAAATGCCTAAGAGAAAATGGATACCCAAAGGGATTTATACAAAAGTAAAGCAGAGAAAAACACCCAACTGTAGAAAAGAAGAAAGTGTTTATTTCTCTCACTGAGCAAATCTCAATCTTATAAACTGTAACCGCTTTTGTTTTTTGAGTTGCTATGTGAACCTACAAGCTAATACTGCTCTGTTAATTATTTTTTTCTGTTTTCTGTCTTACCCCTCCCCCCTCTTTTCTACTTTGAAAGCGTATAAATTGATGATGAAAACTTAAACTAAAAAATTGTAATGCTTACATTTTGGATGCGTCAGTTTCATAGTATTTCTTCTCTACTACCACTTAAACATTAAAGGATGTTATTATCAATCTATATAACCATTGTAATTTCAGGTAGTGGTGTGCAGTTGATGAGAACCTGTGAAATAGAATGACGACATCATTTTATACTGCAAATCTGGTCTTTCTTTCTCTATCGAAATTTATCAAGGGAACCAAATGTATGAAGTATCAATCAGAGTTAAATTCTTTTCATACTCTTCAATGAAGAGATGGCTGATTGGTTTAAGCACTCTCCTTCCAGTCAATAGGGAACAGGGTTCCAGTCCGGCCCGCCTACTTCTGGACCTGGGCAACTTAGTAGTATTATCAACCGTCACAGCCTATCTAGTATGCATATGAAAGATCTGCTCTAAATAACTCAGCTCAAACATTCCCTTAAGTTTATACGTAGAAGAAATTATTGACTATATCTCCCTTTCCGTCTGTATCTAAAAACGATCAATTTTATGACAAGTTCTTTCAAAATGTAGAAACTAAACGATGGATTTTCATTCCGACGATTCTTTAGGTTGGTATTTCTGTGTCTTTCACGTGACATCGTAGTTCAACGTAATCTTTTGTGTTTAATTTACTACTACTCCGTACTTGAAGCTCCCTAAAAATAAAGACTGCATTACGTAACAAACTAAAAACAAACAGAACTTTTTACCACTTCACTCCATCACACAATCTTTAAGTATTTTCGAGTATACAATTATTAGTGTCATTCTCACGCAATTATTTTTATGATACTATTTTTCTTTTCATTCATTGAGTTCCAAGTGGAAGTTAAGGCTTCAAGCTTTAGCAGCAGTGGTGTTGCTTTCACGGAGTGTGATTGCTACCTTTCCCCATTTCCGAAGCTTACCATCGGCTGGTAAACAAAGAGAGGTTTAGTGATGCACCGGTTGGGAATCGAACCTGGCCACGTGGGTGTGGTGGGTTGGTGAGCATTCTACCTCTGGACCCAATGACTCCAGATTGCCAGCAAACTCTGCACCTAGGTTTCATGCTTGTTGGGACTCGTTAGCAAGGGATATCTGTAACCTACCTTGAAGGGACCGATGTCCTTTCTTAAAATCGAGCTATTCTAAACATTTCAATCGCTACTTCCTAACAACCTCATTGGATGGTGTCTCCTCCATACTTGATTTTTAAGGACCATATTTAGCCACTTCAAAATGAGAAAATCAACGCAGACACAGGAGGTGAAAGACAACTAGCCCAGCCATATCTGCTCCTACTTCCAACGCTTATGCCTTACACACACCTAGTAAAGAAGGCTGGAGCGCTTTTGTGTCTTGTGGATATATCTAGGAAATAGTGTCAAAAGATGTCTACATATTAGTTTTTAGATAAAGCAATAAGAAGACGTAATTTGTCTGAATCGTGTAATGTATTTGTGCAACACATTTCGAACAATCTGATCACACACAGACTTGTCATAGGAATATATATGAAATTAATAAAGAGTTAAGAGGTGAGAAAATAGACTTAGGTCAAGTTAAAAGGACATACTGAAGGTCAAAATAACAATGAAGACCACTAAACTAAATAACAGAGGTAATAGTACATCTGCTATGGTATCGAAACAAAACAAAATTTACCAAGGAAGGTTTAATGTGATGAATTGTTTTTGAACGCATAAAGGTGGTTTAAACTTTCTAATTGCCAGCTAAAGCTTCCACAAACTTTAGGATACGCCCCAAACACGTTTTATAGATAAGGAGGACTCATCGATCTCTTCAAGTAGGGGCTTCAGAGCATATTCCTAAATGGCTCCAAAAACAAATAGAATCTTCAGAACGCATTAATGGTGAGAACAGGAGACCTAGCTCCTCTATTGCGAAACATATTATAGAGACAGGACATAAAATTGACGTTAACAGATCTTTTAAACCTATCTATAAAACGTGTTTGGGGCGTATCCTAAAGTTTGTGGAAGCCCTAGCAATTAGAAAGTTTAAACCACCTTTATGCGTTCAAAAACAATTCGTCATCACATTAAACCTTCCTTGGTAAACTTTGTTTGTTTTGATACCATAGCAGATGTACGTACTATTACCTCTGTTATTTGGTTTAGCGATCTTCATTGTTATTTTGACCTTCAATATGTCCTTTTAACTTGACCTAAGTCTATTTTCTCACCTCTTAACTCTTTATTAATTTCATATATATTCCTATGACAAGTCCGTGTGTGATCAGATTGTTCGAAATGTGTTGCACAAATACATTACACGATTCAGACAAATTACGTCTTCTTATTGCTTTATCTAAATTCATAAATGGAACTAATTGTTTTAAATATTAGTTTTTTACCAGATTTTCACAACACACATACACACAAAACTTACCGTGAATGACAATTGGCTTCAGTTTCCAATGCACTGTGTTGAAAATGAGCAGCTTTATACAATGCAATAAATATGAACAAGTGTAGAAATATAGCATATAAAAATACACCCAAGCGTAATCTACGATCAGAGCTGACAAAACGTCCCTGGATAAGAAACAAAAATGGAAAAAAAATTAGAAGATAATACGAAATTACAGGAAATGATGAGTAACAAACAGTGTTGACAATTATTGAAAATAAACTCTCATTATTGTAGTTAATCATAAAAATCATGATAAATAGGATGATGAAAATTTTAAATTATTTTATTTCTCAACATAATATGCGAATGTAACCCCACTGAGATTCAACTGTACACAGTTACGTTAAAAACAAAAAACAACTAATTAGGCAGCTGGTGATTACACATATCTTTAACTGGTTGGTCTGTCAATAAGAGGAAGGGATTACTGATTTTAAAATATTGATTAGTGAATAAAGAATATTCATTTTCGGTAATTTCTTCATCACATTCTACAGTTATATGTACATAAAGGTTAGAGATTCATTGTTCCTGATAACATTATGATTATTATTGTTCCCTTGAGTTCCGAGTGGAACATAGGGCTTCAACAACACATCTCCACTTCGTTCTACTCTCTGATGTCTTCTTCATCTGGCTAGCTCCACGACTGCCTATAATCTCTCATCTCCTTCTCGCCACACGATCTCCTCCATGTCACTCTCGCACTGACAACCCATTCGGATTTTACTCGAGCGACAGTCTCTTCAACGTACGCCTGATCCACTTCCACTTCTCTTTCGGCATATATGTTAAGCAATCGGCTCTTGGTTGGTTCGTTCCCAGATTTCCTTGTTGCTAATTCTTTCTGGATAGCCATCTGCTCTTCTGCATGAAGACAGCTTTGGATAAAAACTTGCAGGAGCCCGTTAGAGATGCTTTTCGTTACGCGCCAAGTTTCTCATCCATATGGAAGAACTGACCTAACATTGGTGTTGAAAATCTGGATTTCGTTTGATATGCCGTGTGTAGAAGATTTTCAACCCGACTTCAGAGTAATGAAGGTCAGCCTTAACTTTCCGATGATTCTGGTTTCGACATCCTCAACCAATGCTATCGCCTATAGTTGGGACGATGTAGCATCTGTCTAGCCCAATAAGTGAAGGAAGTAACCTCTTTCAAATTTATTCCGTTGACAGTGACTGCTGCTGTTTGTTGTCGTTGTTGTTGATTGGTTATCTTCATCACTTTCATCTTATCTGTGTTCACTTGAAGTCCTGTCTTCACCGTTTTTTCTGCCAGTTTGTTGGTTTTTGCCTTTAAGTCTTTGAGTTCAGGTGACATCAGACATAAATTATCCGTAAAATCAAGATCTTCTAGAGTCTTTTTATCGTAATGACATTATGTAACTAATCTATCAATATGGTGACGAAGCTAACATTCGCAGCTAGGAAGTTTTGCATCTTATATATGTTTGTGAATCATTAAAGTGTGATTAAGCAAATTAATTTTTGTAGTTGTTCATGAATAATTCCCATCGAGACATTAATGAAAACAAAACATGTCATTCAGAGAAGAGGTTCTTTTAAGTGAATTCATTTTCTTTAGCAGTAGAATCGTATTTATGTACAATTTATCATGAATGACCACTGGACGACCTTTTCTGCAGAAGCCTCAAGGATAAGATCTCTCATCTAACCACCTCTATGTAGATATATCAGTTCACTTGTTGTTATGCAGCCAGATACATCAGTCGTTTAATGCGTATCCTGTCTGAAAGAGTTCAACAACACTATCCCACAGCATGGTTGCAGAAAGACAGTAGTGGATCTGTAAGGAGTCAAATATTCGAACACCGATCATTCCACATCAAAAAACGTCTTCTTCAAAGTAATCTACAAGGTGATAACCTGCCGAAGGCAATATGCGTTCGTCCCCTTTGCATTGCTGAACATTTAGCTATTCAATTAGAGAAACAGGAGCTATGCATACAAAAGAATATCATTCAACCACTTCCACTAGCGATCATGGTAACAGCCTTGTCGATTTCTAGCGGCTTGGTTTTTGTTTGTTTGTTGGTTCTTCTAACTCTTTATAACTATTAAATTTCTTTACAACTCGTATTATTGTTATATTATTGTTTCCCTTAATTCTTAGAGGAACATAGAGCATCAGCCACACGCCTCCGTTACGTTCGGTTCTCTACCAACGTTTTCACCTGGCTCCACGTCTGCCCACTTGCTTTCGTCTCCTCTTCACATGACCTACTCCATATTACCTTCACAGTGACGACCAACTCGCCGCTTACCATTCGGGCTCCACTCGAGCGATAGCCTGGCATGTGATGTCACTTGATGGTTTTCTCAGAGTATGGCCAATGCACCTCCATTTCTTCCTGCATATTTGTTGCACAGTTGGTTCTTGCTGGGTTGGTTCATCCCAAAGATCCTTCCCTGTTGGTGATCTTTTCTGGCCGGCCATCTGATCTCGAGTAGTATTGAGCGAAGACAGCTGTTGATGAAGGTCTGAAGTTTGTTCGAAGTGCCATTCATGACGCACCAAGTCTCTGATCCGTATAGTGAGTAGCACTGACTTCACATTGAAGTTGAAAATCCGCATCTCATTTTTCATGCTGAGTGCTGTTGATCTCCACATGGACTTGAGAGTAATGAAAGCTCGCTCGCTTTCCCGATCCTCACTTTGATATCCTCATCAGTTTCGTCCGCCTGTCATTGAAATGATGCTTCCCAGGTAGGTAAAGGAGGTTTCTTCTTTCAAATTTCTCACATTTATGCTGATTGTTGTTGTTCTTGTCCAGGAATCTTCATCACCTCTGTCTTCTCTACGTTCACTTGAAGGCCTATCTTCTCTGGATGCTTCTTCTGCCAACTTGTTGCTTTTCACTTGCATATCTTTGTGGGAAATCAGACATATATCATCGGCGAAGTCCAGATCCTCCAAGTTTTTGTGTGGGTTCATTTTATGCCTGTTTGCTCGCTGCCTGCTGTCTGTCGCACTATCTGGTCTACCGCAATCAGGAAAACCATTGGAGATAGTAGGCAGCATTGCCTTTCTCCCGTTTTTATGTGCATCATGATTATAACTCGTTGATTATATTATTCATCTTATTACGTAACTCCAACACACTTTATTCAACTACTCTCATGTATGGACTAATATTTACAACTATGACTGTGACAACTCATCACTTTTTTTACTACTCCCTTTCATGAAATAAAATAGTATGTAAGTGCGGTTGTACAGCTAAAGAAAATGAATTGGCCAAAAAGAACCTCTTCAATGAACTACATGTTTTGTAGTTGTAACTGTCCGAAGACCACAACACCAGCAACTGACCGCCACAGGGTAAGCTGAAATGTACAATTTTTAAGGGCTGATCTATTGTAACCTTCTCTTCCTCAAAGTAGGGAAACTGCATTGCTGACTGTCTGAAACAAACACTTTATAGCTCTCTAACACCTTTATTCACCAATAGTACAACTTAGTCATCAAACCTCCAACATAATGTGGGCGACTTCTTTTAGTCTAGTCTCTATCTAAAGGACTTCTATGGCATAGCCGAGTTAGCGGGAAAATCTGTTCCAGCTAGATCGTTCATTGAATCATTGAGATATGCAAACCAGATTGCTATGTCAAGGTAGCGCCAGCTATCAGTTAAGATGCTGTGAAGGTGCTGCTTGAACTGAGATGATTTAGTTACCGCTTTCTACAACAAGCAAGTTTAGCTGATTTCATATTAGATTGGAAAAGAGTAAAGAGTGATATAAGTATAAGAATTGGGCACTGTGGTAGAGTATAACTCCACAATGGATAAGATTTTATTTTGATAAATCACACAGTATTATGCAGTAATATTTACTGATGACCACGTTTCGAGCATAAACCATTGGTCATAATCATATCAAGTCACTCACACAACTTTCTTGCTTCATATATATACGTGAGTAAAAACTGATTAGACATGAATAAAAATCAATAAAGGATAATGTACATTCAGAAATAATAATATGAGTGTTATTGATCAATTACAATCACATGGGAAATAAGACGAGTGTTGTTAGTCAATAAGATAAGAAATAAGATGTTTAATATAAGGCACCAGCTGTTATACCATATAAGGAAGGGACATCTGAAACCCTACGTAGGATTCTCAATAAAGCAGGAATTAGGGTGGCATTCCAACCTACAAACTCACTACCCAGGTAGGACAAGCTTTGTGGGCTAAAGGACATGGTGGAATAAATTAAACAAAATAATATAATTTACAAAATACCCTGCAATGACTGTGAGTTAAGTCAACCACATAGGTTAAACTAGTAGATCAGGCAGGGGTAATGAGATTATCAGAACAAAAGAATTTAGTCACGGTTAGAATGATTGATCCCACGAAGATAAGTAATTTCGAAAAAAAATCTCAACAGTAGCACTGCATGCATTAACACACAATAGGGTGGGTGGAACAGAGTCAAAATTCTAAAATGTAATATAGGTAGGTGGACAGCGAGAGAGATTGATTACTGAATACTGGTTCATTGAGTCTACACCCAATACAACACATGCAATAGAGGTGACTAGAGACATGGAAGATATTATTACCAGTCAAATCAGAGGATAATAAATAATGTTAAAATGTATTCAATTGATATTACATTCTATTTTTACCATGAAAAACGTATTATTTCCCATCCTGTTGTATTTTATTGATAACACTAATATTATTTCTGAATGTACTTTATCTTATATTGGATTTTATTCAAATGTCTAATCATCATTTTTTACTCATGTATATAAATGAAGCAAGAAAGTTGTGTGAGTGAGTACCTTGATGTGATTATGATCAGTAATAATTTGTGCTCGAAACATGGTCATCAGTAAATATTACTGTGTGATTTATCAAAATAAAATCTTATCCATAATGCGGTAAGGACTGATCATACGAAAACATTCTATTATTATTATTGTTCCCTTGGGTTCCTAGTGGAACATAGGGCTTCAACTACACGCCTCCACCTGCTTCTGTCTTATGCTGTACTTTTCACCTGCATCCATGTTAGTCCATACTGTTTCAACTCTTCTTCACACGATCTCCTACATGTCACCCTTGGACGTCCCACTCGCCGCTTCCCTTTCGGTTCCACTCGAGCGTTAGCCTGACGCGCAATGTCACCTAGCGGCCTCCTCAGCGAGTGTCCAATCCATCTCTACTTTTCCTGCATATTTGTTGGGCGATTGGTTCTTGTTTTGTTAGTTCCCATAGTTTCTTGTTGGTGATTCTTACCGACCATCTGATCTTGGGTATAGAACGAAGACAGTTGTTGATAAAGGTCTGCAACAGGCTGTTGTAAATATTCTTTGTGACCCGCCAAGTTTCTGATCCGTATAGAAGAACTGACTTGACGTTTGTATTGAAAATCCGAATCATTTGTTGTTGATGCAGGCTGAGTGACGAAGATTTCCAGATTGGTTTCGGGTTGATGAATGTGTTTCTCGCCTTTCCGATTCTCGATTTGACATCATCGTCCGTCCGTACGAAAACATGACATACTAATACTAATCTACCACAAAGTTTTCAACCATTGGTTTGAACCAATATAGAGAGGAGTAGACTACCACCAAGAAACACATAATAATAATAAAGGAGAGAGTAGTAGAAAAATAGAAAAAGTAAAACAAGAACACCTTACCAAGTGTAACATCAATTTTTCATATGGCTGTAATTTTTTGTATACACGTTGTTTTTCATAACGACTGAATTGATTAAATGGATTCAATTGGGCTTCATAGACTTGTGAATATTTAATGACAGTAGGATCATTTGAATCAACATTATTACTTGGATAAGATGGTGACGGTGTCGGTGGTGAATAATTCTGTTGTGGTGGTTGTTGCTGACTAGAATGAATACGTACTGTTTGTGTTTGTGTTGTAGGACTTGTACCATATGAGTGTAGAAAGCGTATTTTCTCATAGAGTTTTACATTATCCATACGGACAGATTCAATTTCACTTTGTAGTGATACTAATTGCTGGCGTAGACTCACTTCGTTCTATTAATTAAAAAAATAATAATAAAGAAATAACTAAATAAAAGAAGTAGGATAATATAAGAGAATAAATTAACCCGGTCGATAGCTGTACAGCAGTGACCTCCGTTTTTTTTACGGCTATGAGACATGATCGTTGAAAGTGGAAGATATGAAGGGAGTAACTGTCTTTGACTATAAGTGTTTGTGCTTTATCTTCCATGTAAAGTTGTATATTATGGTAAATTATATTGAGTTTAGGTAGTGATGGTAAGTCAGCCGATGTCAAACCATCGCTTTCCACACTGAGCAGTACTGACCGACATGGGATTCGGTTGAAAAACGGGGTTAGGGGTAGTAAAATCAAAACATGATCTTTTGCAGTCAGTGTGAGAGTCGTACGGAGATGTAGACTTCTTGGCTAGATTCCACAAGATGATGAGAACCTGAGGTTGGAGACTTTTGGCGATATGTCTCGAAATCCTCACCCAATGGTGCAGAAACGTTCATTCTTTATGAACTTTCAAATTCTCATCATCCTTCAATATACTTATTTTTACCCCGATCATTACAGTTTCTTTGCATTTTTCCTACATTAATGTGTGCTTTATGAAATGTGACGAGTTGAACTGATGAACTTTTGTGAAACGTTCTGCGTTGAAAACTCAGGGTCAGTTTAAGTCTACTCAACCATCTTGCAATGTGATTTAGCATTCAGGTGAGAGTGAATCATCCTATCTATTTATTCCCCTTAATGAATTTGAACAAAGCAAGAACTACACTTTTCGCAGAAAAATGTGGTACCATCTTTTATTTCGTTGTCTTCTCATCAGCTGCTTACAGGGCACAGACATTACTAAATATATCTACAAAAACAATTTTAACATACTTGCACAGAGTTCATTTTAAACATAAATCAATCGATCAGTATATGCATACAGTAATTATATATATATATATATATATATATATATATAATATTAAACACTATTCTGAACAATAATAATCATACACAATGAAAACTTTTCAGCATTACGCATTCAGATGAAAGAGAGATGAAAAATATCCAGTTACCAGGGCAAAGAAAGACTGATATGTCTAAAGGGAACAAATGCTTTAAACAGTACCATCGCCTGGCATCTCTTCGACACGGGTCATGAGGTAGACGTCGAAAAGTCGTTCAAAATTATCAATAGACAAAAGAGCTTAATTTTCCTCAAGTTTGCTGGAGCCATTTCCATCAAGCACCTGAAACAAACCTGATTTATGCGTCCAGAAAGAAGCGGTTATCAATCTTTCTTTGCCCTAGTAACTGGATATTTTTCATCTATCTTTCATCTGAATGCGTAATGCTGATAGTTTTCATTGTGTATGATTACTATTGTTCAGAATAGTGTTTAATATTATATATATATATATATATATATATAATTACTGTATGCATATACTGATCGATTGATTTATGTTTAAAATGAACTCTGTGCAAGTATGTTAAAATTGTTTTTGTAGATATATTTAGTAATGTCTTTACCCTGTAAGCAGTTGACGAGAAGGCAACGAAATAAGCAATGATGGTACCATTTTTTTCTGCTAAAACTGTAGTTCTTACTTTGTTCAAATCCTATTTATTGTTGGAGTTGGTAGATTTTAATCCATCTAAACACATTTCTCATATACCATACTATGAGTTACACTTATTGTGTGAAGCTTGACGATACTGCTTAGTTAGTTGCTCCAGGTAAAGTAGGTGAAGTGAGACTCGAACCCAGGGCTCACTAGATGAAAGTTGAGTGTTTAAGTCGATGAGCTCCATTCTTCATATGATTGTATTTGATTTATTATATACTAAAGTAAAAGGAAACAATAATTGAAATTCGAGATTATATAGATAAATTCCTTTATAGCTAAAGACAAATTGTTTTTTTAGCTTAAAGGAGAAGAATTATTTTACAAGACGTATATGTTAACAGCTAATTGATTGACTGCTGTTGACCTGACATGATGGCCATGCTTGCACATCGAAATGACCCAAAAGATTAGACTGTCTGCAGTGAATGTTCCCAGAGGTTCTACCATGCTTATAGGGTCATTGGGATAGCAGTTAGACTGAGAGTAATTGTCATAGTGCAAGTGGCTCACACTATGTAGGATGTCTGATGGTGAAATAATAATTATTATCATTATTATTCCCGTGGGTTCCGAATGGAACATAGGGCTTCAGCAACACATCTCTATTTTGTTCTATTCTCTGCTGTTCTTTTCCGATCGGCTAGCTCCGTGATTGCCCATAATCACACATCTCCTCCAAATCACACGATCTCCTTCATGTCACCGTCACACCGACGACCCACTACTCGTCGCTTACCATTGGGATCCCACTCGAGCAATGGCCTGCATTCAGCGCGACGTCATTCGACAGTCTTTCCAACGTATGCACAATCCATCTTCGTTTTCTCCTACATATTTGTTGAACGATAGGTTCGTGATTAGTTTGTTCCCATAGTTCCCATAAAGTGCTACTTTATGGATCAGAGACTTGGCGCGTAATTTTTGTAATTTTTATTAATTTAACCTTTGACCAGAAATAAATAAGTCTGGAATTTTCTCACACATTTACTATAAATACAAGAATAGAAATGCGCAAAATTAAGTGATTAGTTGACTCACGTAAAAGAATCATACAGACATCTTTATACAAGTGATATATATACTTATTATACTAGTGAAGTTTATTTTACTCAGTTTATGAGTATTTATGCAACGAAGTACTCAAGAACCTATTGCCCAAAAGAGTATGCAGAAAGAATGGGTGGAGACGGATTCGACATACACTGAGGAGACCGTTGAGTGACATCGCACGATGGGACTTCAAGTGGAACCTTGATGGAAAGCGTGCGACGAGTTGAGTATTCGAAGGTGATAGGGAGGAGATTGTGTGAGGAAGAAATGAAAGTATATGAGAAGTCGTGGAGCCAGCTAATCAACGACTGTGAAGAACACAGTGAAATGGAGATGTGCAGCGTGAAGCCCTACGTTCTATTCGGAACCCAAAGGAATAATAATATTTATTATTCACTACCTGGAGATTAACGCACATTCAAATGTTTTTCTTAATGAACTTTTAAAATCATAATAGTTATTACGGTAGTGGAGAATACATTTTTTCAAAAAATCACTTATCGAAGAAACCCATTATTTTGTTTTTGGTATACAACACACACCACTAACCTGTTCTAATTCTTCAGCTCGTATACGAAATCGGTCACGTTGGTTTTGTACAATATGTAGTAATGATTGATCGACTGTGAAAATATATAAACAAAGGGATAGTGGATAGAAATTGCTTTCACAACCACTGTTCTACAAAACAAAGTACAATGTTTCAAAGAAAATCAATAGTATACATATATACATAAAAAATGTATACCTTGCACACTGAAATCGGCTTAAAGAAGAATAACTCAAGAGTTTCGGAGGAAATTAGAACCTTATGAAGATAATCATGTAACGACAGAAGACAAGGGCCAGGCAACAGATATTTATAGATTACCATAGAGAAAGAAAGTAATGATAGTATCTCATTCCTAGACGTCTTCATGGCAAGGAAAGATGATGGCACACTAAGAAGGAGTGTGTATAGGAAACCTACGACAACAGGTCAGTACACCCATTTTTTGAGTTTTGTACCTTTGAAATATAAACGTAACCTGGTAAAGTGTCTGGTTCATAGAGCTAAGTTAATATGTTCAGACGACTGCCTCAATGAGGAGCTTAAGATTATTAAAGAATTACTTAGAAAAAATGGTTATCCAGATAAATTTATTGAGAAGAATATGAATTCAGCACCAAAGAGAGTCAGTATTGCTACAGTTTCGAAAAAGCCAATGTTCATAAAATTGCAGTTCCTCAGTGACAACATCAGTGAAATCATAACACAGCGCTTGAAGAATGCAGTTAAAAGAGCTTATTATGCAGCAGAAGTACGTTGTCTCTTCAAAACCACCCCTATTCTATGTTCGAGAAATAAGGACAAACTACCTAATTTTGCCTCTTCTATGTGTGTCTACCAGTTTGACTGCAGCTGCGGAGCCAGCTACATTGGGCGTACAATTAGGCAGTTTCATCGTCGTATTTCTGAACATCATCCAGCGTGGTTAAGCAAGGGACAAACAAAATCTATTCGGAGTTCTATTTTAGCACACCTTGTTGATACTGAGCACAAGGTTGATGTGAATACTGCATTCAAAATTATTTATCGCATTCCGACTAATCTCAACTTTGCTCTAAGAGTTCGTCTTCTACAGACAGCAGAAGCAATCGGAATCTACCTTAAGAAGCCAAGCCTGTGTGTACAGAAGAAATTTGTACAGCCACTTTGCTTACCTTACAAGACAGGACTACGTCGCCCACCTCCCCCTATTAAATTATAATTGTCCAAATTATTTTATTTTTATTTTTATTTTGACCACTTCATCTTTAATTACGTGTTATTCTTGTAAAATTAATTTATTCTATCCATTTCTACTTTTTAAATGTGCATTGATTTTCTGCGTTAATTATCTACCCATTGACATTTTGACGTTGTTTAAATATTGTTAACAAACATATCACCACTTGTTTGGTAAATTGTTGTGTATTGTAAAAATGCTATATATATTAGAGTAGAGCCAGAGAAGAGGATCTAATTGAAAAGTAAATATTTCTTCGCTCAATCTTTTGTGTTTTCCAAATGTCTAAATGGGGATATTTTCTACATTATTATTAGCGTTATTGTTAGCAGAGAAGCAACGCTTTCTGATTGGTTGTTTTTCCGCTGCTGAAGGTTATTCTGTCGTCTCTTTATTGCCGTTTCTTAGACAGTCCAGTAATATATCTGCTAATCGTATCCGCCCACGCAAAGTCTGCTGTGATTGGTTGTTGAGTTCCTCAAGGTTAGGCTTTGTTCTTGTTTTTTCTCATGACCCAATCCGGGAAGTAAACACTGACGTAAATTGCTGTCTACCAATTGTGGCTAGCAGATAGCTCTCACCACAATCAGATTTTTAAATGTCAAAGACATACCTTGATGATTAGTACTAGTGTAACAGTAGAACGCGATAGTATTTAGTAGAGGAATTTTTTTATTGGCAAATTGATGTACACAGATATAGCAAAATACATACAGCTTACATTGAAATCTTTATTTGCACCATATTGTGCTTCTCTTTTGTCCTTCTTTCGTGTGTTTTTTTGTTGTTGTTTTACAAGGATCATTCATTTCTCATGAGAAACTGATAGTTACTGTTCCAGTCGGTTTATTACCCATTAAATTTACGCAAACACTTTCCTCATGAATACATCGTTTCAAAAGTAAAATAAAACAACCTCGTGGAACTTCAATCAAATTGTGGTGAGAGCTGGCTGCTAACCAAATTGGTAGACAGTAATTTACGTCAATGTTTACGTCCCCAATATTGGTCGTGAGAAAAATAAGAACAAAGACTGATTCAACAACCAGTCAGAGCAGACTTTGCGTAGGCGGATACAATTTGCAGATAGATAATGTGAACTTCAATAAACGGCCACAAATGGATGAAAGATTGACGTTCAGCGAGAAACCACCAATCAGAAGACTGTGTTTCTTTGCTTATAATAATTCATAATAATGTACATGGAAATCTATAAATATGTGTTGATTTCCTAAATAAACTATCTGTTGCCTGACTCTTATCTTCTGTTGTTACAAAATGACTCAATAGGTCACACGTATAATTAGTATGTGAATTACACAATGTTAGCACAGTTGTTTATTCACTCACTGACTTCATAGGTGTGAAGTTATAGTAATGGGAATATTTAACAAACAGTAAGGTGTATTAGAAGTTGGCGTCAGTCACATGAAGGCATGAAAGTGGAGTCAGATGATCATACATAGGTGTATGGACTATGTGAACAAATAGTCTGTCCATTTGCGTTTTCACTGTCGAAAAACTTTCAAATTCTTTTTATTGCCTATGAATGTTATCTTGTGTTTAACATTTGCCAGCAATGGAAATTTTGTCAAATATAGTGGTGAATATGATCGCGCTGTTCTCAGTATGCGTTAGGACATCATTCTACTTCAGTGTGGGAGATATTATCTAACTATTAGATTCTAATAATAACATAGTGGCTAGGTTAGTGAATACTGAGGTGAACGGACGACCATCGACCTGTTGACCTTGAGTAGTCAGTCAATCAAAGTAAGGCAGACTAATTTAGATGTCAAAAGACATATTCATGTTAACAGAAGTGTAAGAATAATAAACGGATAGCTACCAACTGCTGAACAACATACAATTATCATTAACACAATGAACTCAACTTATCCCTTATATTATCATTAATACTCACGTAAACTCTGACTTGCCACTTCAAGATCTTTGAGTCAGTTATTTGTTTGAACTAAAATTCTTCAATTTCGCCATAAAAGTTTTGAGGGATAATTAGGAATTTTTTCCTTCACGTTCCCCAGTGGAACATAGGGCTTCAAGCTAGTGGCTTGAAGTTTCGGTAGCAGTGTTTATTTTACAGGATGAGGTTGCTAACCTCATACCCAACCTGTCCTCTTCACCAGCATTATTTCTGGCTTAGCGAGGTAAAGGAGTGCGTCGGTCGGGGATCGAACCCAGGACCATGTGCATGGTCGGCGAGCGTTCTAACCGCTATGCCACCGACGCATATAATTAGGAGTAGTAAAGTATAGTTATATTTCAATGTTTTACACACACACAATAAGTTTTTATTATTGGCAACATTTTGAGCAAAATTACTACCCGTGTTCACACCAACTGTTGGAATTGTTTTGTTATTTAATTCACACATTCACGATTTGTACTCATATATATAGTTCATTTTTTTGTTCATTCATTTTTGTGTATTTAGAATTATATTCCAGGTTGTAAACCATTGCAATATAATTATACTTTATTTGATCTGTTCCACAATGCTCAAACTTTTTACTGACATTAATTAGGAATAGGTTGGGGGTTATGGTGAGATTAAGTTTAGATTGTGCGTCGGTGGCACAGAGGTAAAGTGCTCGCCGACCACGCTTCATGTGGTTCGGGGTTCGATCCCCGGCCGATGCATTCCTTTACCTCACTAAACTAGCAATAAAGGAAGGTTGGGCATGAGGCTAGCAACCCCATCCCGTAAAAATAAACACTACTACTACCGAAACTTCAAGCCTTTAGCTTGAAGCCCTATGTTCCACTGGGAACGTAAAGGAATTTAAAAAAAGTTTAGATTAGAGTTAGAGTGAAGAATTATTAATTGGAGCTTCGTCTAAGTTACTATTCTGGATGAAATCTTTCCCCGATATCCTAAACGGCATTTTCTTATTAACAATAAACTGGATTTATCCGTTATAACTACAATGCTATCCCCGCAAACTTTGAAAGGCCACGTCAAAGTCACTTACTTGTGTGCTCGTTGGCTTGGATCACTATTATTCTTCATAATACTTCACCAATTCCACGACTTATCGACATAAGTTCAATGTGAACAAACACAAATAAAACTTCACTAAAAGGAGACATTACTCTTCTATAGTACTTCGTCTTTTCAAAAACACCTATTGCTTACTTTGATTTGATTTTTGTTCACCGATCACTTCTGCAAGTAATTGTCCTTCTAATCGACTTCTTGAATCACTAGTAGATGATCGTCGTGTTTCATCAAAACCAGTCTGTAAACGATATAAATCAGATTCTAATAGTTTAATTAACTCTGTTTGTTCTTCAATTCGTTGCTTTGATTCTACTTCATTCGACTTCAACTGAGTCAGCTCAACTGTAAATAATAATAGAAAAAATAGAATTGAACATAGAATGAATAAGAAATATTTTCGCCTAACCTCAATATTGCTCACCTTATTATACTACCTCCCTAACACGGGAGATAGGACGCACACCTATGATCAAAGACAGCTAGCCTTTTCATGTCTTCCACTCTCAAAGGCCAGGTCTCACAGCCATAAAGGAGGACAGAGCGAACCGCTGAGCAGTACACACACCCTTTGGTCAATAACCAGTTAGATATCACGTCTACTAAGCCAGAGATGGCGTAAATTGGCAGGCATATGCCAAACGAGCCTTCTGTATCCGTACTGAGATTTCGTCAGCGATCAACCCGATAGGCTGGTTGATGCAACTTCCCAAATAAGTGAAGTGGTCAACACGCTCCACAAACCACTTCACTCCCTATTTCTAAGCTAGGAGTCAATGTAATCCACTCCTGTAGCATCATCTTACATTTCGCGGTAGCGAATCGTATGCCAAACATTCGAAGATTGCTGCACCTCAAGGTGTTCAGAAGACTCTACATTTTGTCAGCGTCTTCACCTCACCTAGGAGGACTATATCATCTGCATATTCTAAGTCAACGAGACTATTATACCCTGGTAACAAGTCAATCCCTGAGTCGCTGAAGTCAGTTAGGGTTAAGTCCGTTAGTACATTTATGATGAAATTAAACAGAAATAGGGACAATGGGTATCCTTCACGAACACCACTGATTGTCACCACTTCATATGACAAATCTCCATAGGCTATCACCTGGCTGCATGAGTTAAAGTACAGTGCCTTGATCAGTGCAATGTATTTTCTCGGCATTCCCTTCACAGCCAAATGCCGCTTTCAGGTCAAGAAATACAACGATTGTCGGACGCCGGAAGGTATGTTCCAATTTCAATGTGATCCCAATTGCACTAGAAAAGTTTGTGACACGAGAATTCGGGGACAACCGACTACCAGTGTTGGAAAACAAGCAAATGAAGAAGTCAAAAGAAATATATATATCACGGAATATACACATTTGATCATAGGGAATAAAAAGACAGTTGCAGCGAAGAAAATTTTCTTTTTGACGAAGTCATCATCTAGGCTGTACATTCGTGTATTTATATCAAATGGATGGGAAAGTTCCAGAATAACTTCCGGTTAAGGGTCAAATTAATAAAAATTACAATTAGGAATTAGAATGCCATAATAAACAGGGGGACGGATAAAACTCAAAGTAGCATAATAACTAAGAAGATTGACATTGTGGAATAGAGGGTTCGAAATGTAGAAATAACAAAATAGACAGGATGTTTGGATATATATATATATGGCCAGGTCTCATAGCCATAAAGGAGGACGGAGTGGACTGCGGAGTAGTACACCCGCCCTTTGTCGATAGCCGGATATCACTTATACGCCAGAGACGGCGTAAACTGGCATATGCAAAACTAGCCCTCTGTATCCGTGCTGAGATTTCTTCAGAGATCAACCCGTTGGGGCTGATGGTACTTCCCAAATAAGTGAAACGGTCAACGTGCTCTACCACTTCACTTCCTATTTCTAAACTAGAAGTCAGTGTTCGCTGTTGGCTGTTTGTTTTTTTCATTTGGTGTGTCTCAGTAGCATATTTATCACTTCTGCCCCGTGACACGGCAGCAGGAAGCGCGGTCGTTGTTAATCCGGGCCCCGACCGATCCGGCATGATATTTTGGGATTTACTTTGAGTCATAGCATTGGGTTGAGTAACTGCTTTTTGTCTAACCACTATCCAAACAACCTTTCTGGCGTGGTAGGACCTAGAGGAACATAAGTTCCAGCCAGTGTAGCTCGTTGGGTTATTGCGATATGCAAGCCCGACCACCACGTCAAGGTAGCAGCTTTCGGTCGTCAGTGTTCGCACCCCATAGTCGCCATTTTTTTAGGTCGACTAGAAAATGAAAGTTTCACAATTCAACCCATTCAGGTCAGTGTTATGACAGTGTTACTAATTTGTGGTTGCCATCTCACTTGACTAGAATGAGCCTCCAGACACGACACTATAACCAACTTGAAAATATCCCCCATACTGAGATAGACACAAATGGGCTAAACGACAACGACCGACAACAAAAACAGCTATGACGTTTATCAGACAAAATACATGATATATGATATTTTCAAAACCTCAGGAATCTAAGCTACAAATACACGAATCAAAAGCTGTCCAATCAGGTTATCATGTCAGTGCATGCATAAATCATGACTTTACAGTTTAACAGAGAAGCTCATCCGTTCTAACAGTCACAGGACAAAACAAAAAAAGCAACAACAAAAATGAATTTCTTCTCTCCACATAACATAACTTACTCTGTAACTTTTCACAAGAGGTATTTACTTCAGCCAATTGATTTTCTAATACTTTATTCTTTTTTAAAAGAAGTACTTCTAATGGAGGACGATCAGACAATGCATTATTATGAAGGTTTTCGCCATCATCAGGGAATTCAATAGACCGTAGAAGTGATAATTCACGTTTTATTTCATCATAATCTAATTGACGATTAATTTTCCCATTTGCTTCATCTAAAGCAGTTTGAGTTTCTGTTAATAATTTTTCAGTATCTTGAATACGATTTTGTAATACAGTCTCGTTAGAAGCTTTTGATGACTTCAATGACTCTAACTGGTCAATTAGTGAAGATTTCTAAAATTGATGGGAGGAAAAAAATTACATGAAACAATGTGTTGGCATTGTTCAGTGGGCTTTTAATAATTCTCAAGTATTGGTTTTGTTTTTGGGATTTTTGTTTGATTGGTTCGGGGATTTCATCATGAGCTGACATCAGCAGTTAGAGGATCATCGGGAAACTAGGGAGTACTCTAGATAGTAGTTTCATCCTAACTTCGGGGCTATACAGCAGCACTCAACCCAACGGGGCTCAAACCCAGGACTTTCCAACCACAAGGCAATCTCGTTGATTATTCAGAAACTGGAACCATATCCAACGGCCTATGAATTCCAACTTCTGTCTATTCGCGACTTGTATATATGCATATATATGTAACGCAATCGCCAGTGAGTGTTGTAGGTAACCTACTGGTTACGACTTTTTACTTTGACTCCAAAGAGCTTCCTATATAAAGCCAGAGGTTAGTGAGCATCAGATTAATTATCAGGTGTTGGCTTTCAGGGATTTGATTGCTTATTGGTTAGTAGATCAAGTAGCTTATGACATTGATAAACGCTTTCTAATAGATGATACTGAATTTTTATTCAGATTAAGTACATTTAGATTTTCTATGTGACTTAATAACCATGTGGGAATAAGTTCTATCCAACAACATTAGAACATCCTATTGGATCGCCACAAGTGAACAGGTGGACAGGTGGTCAAAAAATCAATATCAATGACTGTTTCTTAATTATTTCACATAACTTTGACTCAAGATTATTAAAGCTGATAAAAGCTTTTTTTTAGATTAATCACATTCATCAAAAACTACGTGAACACCAAATAACGCATCTCAACCATTGCCTACTATGGACTACCTGACCCACTAAAATATGATTGGTTATTAGTATGCACATTTATATAACTCAGTAGTAGTCAAACATTTTATTTGATCATTGTCAACTGTGTTAGTTGTAAACGGATCATAAACAAACTGCGAAAGAACAAGAGAAAGAGACGCTGAGCTCAACTTACACAGCACTGGACAAAGAAGTGGAGAAGAGTGCCAGGAAGGACAAAAGACAATTCTACGACAACCTGGCTACTGAAGCTGAGAAGGCAGCGGGCAAAAGGGACCTAAGGACACTATATCAGATAACCAAGTCTCTATCCGGGAAGAGATCAACACAAGTGAAACCTATAAAAGACAGTCAAGGGAACCCAATTACCAAGGAAGAAAGACAGATTAAATAATGGGCGGACCACCTCAAAGGACTCTTGAACCGACCACCACCTACAACTCGTCCAGAAATACCAACAACAGCACGTACACAATTGCAAGTTGACACCAATCCTCCAACGAAAGCTGAAGTCTTGAATGCAATCAAGCTTCTGAAAGCTGGAAAAGCAGCTGGACCAGATGGAATATCCCCTGAAGCACTGAAAGCGGACCCAGAGACGACAGCAGATATGCTGACTCCATTATTGCAAAAGGTCTGGAAGGAGGGAAAGGTTACCTAGTGAAACTACCAAAGAAGGGCGACCTAGGACTCTGCGAGAACTGGCGAGGAATCATGCTCCTGTCGACGCCAAGTAAAATCCTGAGTCGCATCATCCTGGACAGAATAAAGGACGCACTGGATACAGAAGTCCGACCAGAACAAGCTGGATTCAGGAAAGGCAAATCATGTTCTGACCAAATTGCAACTCTACGCATCATCATCGAACAAAGCATGGAATGGCAATCAAACCTCTACCTCAATTTTATAGATTTTGAGAAGGCCTTCGACAGCGTTGACCGCGAAGTAATTTGGAAACTACTCGAGTACTATGGCGTACCCCAAGTATTCATCAACCTTATTCAACAACTGTACGACAACGGCACATGTCAAGTGATCCACAACGGAAAACTCAGCGAGGCGTTTGGAGTAAACACAGGAGTCAGACAAGGGTACTTATTATCACAAATGATATTCCTAATTGTGGTGGACAGGATTATGCGTCAGACAGTGGGAAACGAGAAGACAGGGATATCCTGAAGCGACATGAAGAACCTAGAAGACCTGGATTTCGCGGATGGCTTATATTTGATGTCACACAAAATCAAAGACTTACAAGCGAAAACCGACAAACTGGTCGAAGAAGCAGCAAAGACAGGACTCCAGGTATACATAGACTTGACGGAAGTTATGAAAATAACCAACCAACAACAACAGCAGCAGCAACATCCATCGCCAATCACCATCAACGGGAGGGAGCATTGTCTCAGGAGGAACGGACGAGGATTTTTTTTGATTTACAGCTTGATTCCACACCGTATTTTCAGTACAAGTGTGGAATTTTCAGCATGGATATCGGTAGCCCAAATTCAGGCCGACCATAGATATCGGGTGTGCGTCGGCAGGGGATCGAACCCCGGACCATGTGCATGGTCGGCGAAAGTCCTAACCACTGTGCCACCGACGCAGAATCAGGAAGGCGAGAGACACATTCATCCACCTGAAACCAATCTGGAAATCTTCGTCACTCAGCCTGCATCAACAACAAAATTCGGATTTTCAATACAAACGTCAAGTCAGTCAGTTCTTCTATACGGATCAGAAACTTGGTGGGTCACAAAGAATATTTCCAACAACCTGTTGCAGACCTTTATCAACAGCTGTCTTCGCTCTATACTGAAGATCAGATGGCCGGAAAGAATCACCAACAAGAAACTATGGAAACAAACAAAACAAGAACAAAACAATCGCCGAACAAATATGCAGGAGAAAGTGGAGATGGATGGATTGGACACTCGCTGAGGAGGCCGCTGGGTGACATTGCGCGTCAGGCCATAGCTCGAGTGGAACCCGAAAGGGAAGCGGCGAGTGGGACGTCCAAGGGTGACATGGAGATCGTGTGAAGAGGAGTTGAAACAGTATGGATTAACATGGATGCAGGTGAAAAGTACAGCAGAAGACAGAAGCGAGTGGAGGCGTGCAGTTGAAGCCCTATGTTCCACTAGGAACCCAAGGGAACAATAATTATCATAATAATAATAATCACTTGTTTTAATATATATATATATATATATATATATAGCACCACCGCATACTGCTGAAGAGTCACAAACTAGGATGAGACAGATGTTTAGTACTTCCTGGATCTCCAGTGGTCCTCTAAATGATGTCAGCTCATGATGAAATCCTCCATGCAATCAAACAAAATCCCTACAAAACCAATACTTGAAAAAATTAAATAAACTCCATTAAACTTACCTCATTTGAACAAGTGGATAATTCATATTCAAGTTCTTCAACACGACATTGAAGACGATTAATATCTGCAACAGGTACACTTGAGACATGTGAACAATTTTCACGTAATCTAGCCAATTCTGCTTCAGCTGCTGCAAGTTTCTAAAATATCATTAAAATAGAAAAGTCATTATGAATGAGAATTCTGTACAAACTGTAAATAATGAACTGTGTGATAATATTACAAGTTCAAAGAATTATACAAGATGCTCTACTGTAGTCATTAGTTTAATCTATGCATATCATCTTTTAGGAGGGATGAACGACAGACATTTTCCTAATCGATTCGTTTACCTCCAGACAATAATAAATAGAAAAAAGTTTCCGGAAAGTATATTCCAAAATGGGAATGAGAAAGTCAACTGTTGCATGTGACTAGTACTGTTTGACGGAATTGACAAACTAACTGACAAATATATCACGTTAAAAAAAGCACCAATATCCCATTATTTATATGAATATACCTTCAAAACTAATAGGCATATTACTAACCGACAGGCTACACAGGCTGCCTTCCCTCCATACTGAAGATCAGATGGTCATTAGGATATAAGCAACAAAGAATTCTGGCAGGTACGGAACCAGTCAACAACCTATCGCCCAACAAATATCAGATAGTTGGAGGCAATCGGCAGGAAGCCTTGGACCTAGTTTTCATGCTAGTTGGCACTACAGTCCTACAGGAGATCAATCGCGCCAGCCCGAATAGCTCAGTGGTAACGTCTCTGACTGCAGCCCTACTGGGTGACACGGGTTCGAATCTCAGAAGGGACATGAGTTCCTTCAAGGTGGTCGCAGATACGCCTTGCTGACTGATGAGTGCCAACTAGCACGAAACCTAGATCAGGCAAGGCTTCCTGTGTCCGATTGCCTCCAACTATCTAATATCATCAAATCAATGTGCACCATGATGGCGAGCTACCTAGAATGGTGGCCACATTGCAAACCTGACTGATAGAATTCAGTCTGCACCAAAGAAAGGACTAGACAAGTCGCACTAGTTACTAGTGTCCAATCAAAATGGCCAACAAATATGCTAAAGGAAATACAGGATACACGCTTAGGAAACCGATGAGTGGCATCACGCTCCATGTCGTCGAGTGGAGCCTGAATGGGGAGTGACTTGGAATTTCGTCAGTGACATGGAGGAGATAACGCAAAGAAGAGATGAAAGCTTGTGAGCATTCATAGAATCAGCTTAAAAAGACAGCAGAGAAGGCAGTAAAATGGGGACGTGCTCCTATGTTCCATTCGTGAATTCAAGGGATGAATAATAATCATAATACTAACACCATGTTTGATATCACTTGTACAAACACCCAATTGCTAGTAGGTTACCGTCGCACATTCATAACCAGATGTTATGTCAACATATCCTATTGTGGCGTGTGCTACTGATAAGATTTATCAGTAGTATAGAGACTTTCGTCGGCATAAAAACATCAAATAGCACAGATAGATTTGATGTCAGAGAAAGCAAGTGATACAGCGTTGCAAGGATACACGGGAGACTTGAAAAGAAACTTAAAGAAACACAACAAGAAGGCCAGAAGGAGCACAACACGGAAGATCTGTACAAATGGTGCGTTGAAGATAAGGTGTACATAATTTGGCTATATGGAGATACCAGTCAGTCAGTCATATGGATACCAAATCCGAAATAAACATTCCTTTACCAAGTCTCTCGTCTTCTACCGTTACACACCATTGTCTAACTTTCACATTTCTCATGCAAAATTCACGCTTTTTGAAAGTACCACATTAAAAAAATTAGTTGGTAGAGAATAAAACGAGTTTCTAGAAAATACTGAAGTGCTATACTCATCTAGATAGTAAAATTTATTTTTAGAAATTACTACTTCTGAATTTAGCCTTAACTGATTTTATTCTACCGGAATACTACTCGGGCGTTTTGCTGACATATCGGCTTCTAGTGAGGACGTTACGACACACAATAGCAACTGATACTTGTTGCATCATGTGATCCAGTGGATAAGGATTTAGCATCTGAAACTGTAGGTGGCAGGTTCCAGTCCCAATGGGAACACTGGCACTCATTAGGGATGCAAGCACATTACAACGAGTCCCAAGTAGGACGAAAAGCACGTCCTCGAGCTCACTGCCAGCTACCATCAACCAAATTATCTTTCGAACTCAGTTACCCAGAACAGATATTTCATATACCAGGCTAAGAGACACACTTGTCGTGTGAGGGCTACCGATAACACTCAGTTATTGAAGCTGAAGTAGGTGGAGCAGGACTCGAACCGGTGACCCATCGACTGAGAACCAAGTTGCTTAAGCCGATGAGCCACATTCCCACAAACATATAACAGTGTAGTCTCTAGTTATCTTATGTAAATTTTATTGAGGTATTTTGAAAAGAAACTTGTCTTATCTACCTTTAAGAGTATGAAAAATCACACGCAAGCTTTATGCGTCAGATGTTATACGAGACGGAAAGATGATTTGAAAATAACCTAGCAGAAACCATTAATTAGTTGCGACAATCACTTTTTTATTTGACATTTACTTGCATCGTTTCTTTTGAGGTAGATTCTCAACACATAAATGACCAGTGTTTTCAGAAAAATGATGATTGGCGAAATACAATAGCTTATCAATAATTTAATTCATTAACAATAGGATTACAAGAATTTCTTTATAGTAGTGGAAGGGATAAAGTGATGAAGATACTGATGATCTTTAGAAAAACAAGCTTATGAATATAACACAATACCAATTGGCAGCATAAATCCTTTTTTAACACAAAGTTGTCGTGAATATTCTACTTTGGTATATTTTAAGTAACTTTAGTATTACTGCTAATTTAGTTGACCTTTCTGTCGCAATAGAATGTTGTTTATACGAACTTTGATCAAGGTTTTGACTGAATAGTTCCACAATAATTGGGTGCCGCCGAGTGAAAAGTAGACATATGTAAAAACTTTTTATATTTGTATAAATCTAAGCAAAATTGCATGTTGCATCCAATACAATTGTGGGGATTTCCAATTCACTGGGTATAACACTTGACTTCTAACCAGTGAATCCCGAGGATGAATCCATTTCGACCTACTTCGGTCTGGGGCGACTGAATAGTCCTAGCCCAATAAGTGTGACTCATAGCCTGATACATGGAAAGTGTATATCTTGTACCAGTTCATACCAAGTTCAATACAATTGAGAATGGATCGTTCATTATAAGTGGTGACTACGGTTGACTAACTTTAAACAGTTTCATGTTAAATACACTATGAAATACATTATCATTCGTGGTGTATGAAATTCACTACTTTCCGTACTTAGTATTATTATTATTGTTCCCTTGGGTTCCTAGTGGAACATAGGGCCTCAACTGCACGTCTCTACTTTTTTCTGTCTTCTGCCGTACTTTTCACCCGCATCCATGTTATTCTATACTGTTTCAATTACTCTTCACATGATCTCCTCCATGTCACCCTTGGACGTTCCACTCACCGCTTCCCTTTCGGGTTCCAATCGAGCTATGGCCTGACGCGCGATGTCACCCAGAGGCCTCCTCAGCGAATGTCCAATCCATCTCCACTTTCTCTTGCATATTTGTTGGGCCATTGGTTCTTGTTCTGTTTGTTCCCATAGTTTCTTGTTGGTGATTCTTTCCGGCCATCTGGTCTTCAGTATAGAGCGAAGACAGTTGTTGATAAAGGTCTGCAACCTGTTGGGAATATTCTTTGTGACCCGCGAAGTTGCTGATCGGTATAGAAGAACTTATAAGAAGTCTTAATATCAGTAAAAAGTTTGAGCATTGTGGATTAGATTAAATAAATTATAATTATATTTCAATAGTTTACACACAATGATAAGTTTTGTTATTGGTAATATTTCGAGAAGAAGAAGTCTATTTATACAAGATAAGTAAGAACAATTCTAAAGTTTAATCAGCTTACATATACCTGAGTTAATCACTATATAAGACATGTGTGTAAAAATGATTTATAACCAATAAATACTTATATATTCAATACAAAAACATCGGTAAAAAAAATACACTGTTTATAGTGTTGCAAACAAAGAAGTAACTTACTGAATTTGACTTTTCCAGATCATCAATAAGTAATTCAAGTTCAGATGACCTATCATAGAGATAAAATGTGTTCAAATGCCAAACAAGAAACTAACCGACCAGTTTCACTTGCATTTACTTGAGTTTTTAGTCGAAACAGTTCTGACTGTGCCATTTCCAAAGCTGTAAAATATAAGAATTAACAATTCTATAGGCATGAGATATGTAACAAATCAACCAAGTAATGTTAATTAGTATCTGTCAGAAACTGTTCAGACTAATTGACAGTAGTTACACGTTTACTTAGGTCTCTATACATATTGTTTTATTCATATTTTACACAATTTATCTGTAGAATCGTAAGTCAGTAAATAGCTTGTTTCACAAAAGTATCTTCCAGTGCTACATCTTACTTCACTGATTTCACACCAAATATTTCGTTTAGGCTTTTTAGTTACGAACTGTGCATCCTGATGAGAATCACATAAATATTTTGCCCAGAACCCTGAGAAGTTTAGCTGCTGCTGCTGCTTCATCTCACAGACCCCCACAGAATTCTCCGGTGAAGTATCTTGAACAACATTTTTCAATTCAAAAGGTACTTGAATTGTCCATTAATCTAATGGTCATCTGCATTTGGTATTCCTCTTCTCAGAGTCAACCTCAGCCAAATGCCTTTGAAATACATATAGTGGTGATAGAGGTATGAACACAGGTTGGATATTTAAGCTGGGGCGAATGATTTAGGTGGTCAAAAGGAATTAGATAGTTTTACACCAGAAAATGGGCATCGGTGGCATAGCGGTTAGGACGCTCGCCGACCATGCACATGGTCCGGGGTTCGAAACCCGACCGACGCACTCCTTTACCTCGCTAAGCCAGAAATAATGCTGGTGAAGAGGAAAGGTTGGGCATGAGGCTAGCAACCCTATCCTGTAAAATAAACACTGCTACAGAAACTTCAGGCCATTAGCTTGAAGCCCTATGTTCCACTGGGGAACGTGAAAGGAAAAACAAAAACATCAGAAAATGTGGATAGGTTTTTGCATCTTGGTGCAAATAATGACCTATTACTGATTTCAGAGAGTAACAGTAGCCTGAAATTCTCTCGCACATTCAAGCCAGGAATCAAACAGATTATACCATAATCAGACATCAATAACACCGATGGTTGCACAATAGCCGCTCTGATAATGCCCTAGTAAATTGTAGACTCCTGTCATCCTAAACATATTGACGTATGTAAATCAATTTCACCTTTTACTGCAGCCGAATATCAGAAATTCACTTGCCTCTAGGAGATGGTCCTACTAACTTGGAGTAAACAATGTTACACGAAACAGAATTAGGTTGGAGAAATGGGTTTTAAGTGGGTAGACAAAGACATGACACTAATGCATAAATTCACTGACTATTGGTCTGAGTCTTGTAAGGTGCAAACAGCCAGGTTGGAGTCCTCGACATGTTAAGAATCAATAGCTGAGAACTCTGTGTCACATAGCTTGACAGAGTCATCAATGGAACAAGTCAACTTGCTCATTTTCATCTTCCTTACTCTGAAAATATCCACTAATCTTTACTTGTCCGACTACCTTATTGAATTCATGTGTCTAGTGTACTATTACGATGTCTCTGTCCTCTTAATGTCTTTTCAAATGTAGAAACTTGAAAGAATACATCTCTATGAGGACTTCTTACTTGGTTTGTCAGTCAAATATTAATTCGAGCTAAGTTCCTATCAAACTACTCATCCTTCAGAAAGTCTAGACAAACACTAGTAGTACTTACAATGACGCCATGATTGCAAGTAAGGCCGTTTGAGACTCAGAAATTCCACTAACAAGCACTAGGATTTTGAGATTCTCTTAAAACCCTAATCCAGTCAGACGGCTACATGGTTGTATTGAGACTTTTCTCCCCTAAAACAAAATAGTACTTACAAAAAGATCTTTTTATTTTTGTTATCTTTGATTATAGCTTGATTCCACACCGTATGTTTGGTACAAGTATGGAATCTTCAGCATGTGATATCGGTAGCCCAAATTTTGCAGGCCGACCATTGATATCAGGTGTGCGTCGGCAGGGGATTGAACCCTAGACCATGTGCACGGTCGGTGAGAGTCCTAACCGCTGTGCCGCCGACGCACGATCGCGAGACCTGGTGCTCATGAAGTGCATGTGAGATGGAAGTAGCAGATGCACCTGGCAACAGTTGGAAACTGTTCCAGCTGGTCTTAGATACCACCAACAAGACACCTGAAGTGAATGAGGTCATTTGTGAGGATAGTAGTTTACTAGTTAATAACCTACAAAAACGACTGAAACACTATGTCGGAATTTTCCTTCATCTAAAGCAAGATGGCGCATTATATTCTGGACGATGAAAAGTAACAATGATACTGGTTTACACCTAAATAATCATAGGTCCAAAATGAAAGCAGCAGTCACCAGAACGATCAGGATTAATTACAAATGTTTTCATCAGCATAGCAAGCTGACGTTTCCATTAATGGTTCGGCTACCAAACACAGCTTTTAAGAATAATGGGCCACACCACATTATCGAGAATGCGTTAATATCATGACCTACTCAGAACTGCAAGGAACTACTATTCGTCACCTATATAGCACGACACAACGCCAAATTACAAGAAGCACTATAAGTAATAAATAAATAAACGCTATACTAGGGCAGAATCAACAGATGAATAATTAATCAAACCATAAGTAACCAATTGTCAAACAACATACCTTTCGAAATAGCCATATTTTTAGCTTCGAAACTGCTAAGCTTTTCTTCGGCCTCAGCTTTAAAAATAGCTAATTCTTGCTCCTTAGACTCCAGTTTCCTTTGACATTCATTCTCCAACTTGGAATTATTTCTTTGTATTTGAGACTCCAAAGAGGTTGATAGTTCATCAAGACGCTTTTGCAAGCGCTTGTTTTCACGTTCTGAAATAAGCTCAAAATCGACAGCATACCATGATTCTTAAGTTCTTGAACTCTAGCCTTTAGCTCATCGTTGCTTTCCTTTAATTTACGTGACTCGAACTCAAGTTCTGCAGCTTTATCTGCTCTTTTCTGTAAAGAGTGAAGCTCAGCCAGGGCGAGGGAAGGGTCTGAGACGGAATTAATTCACTGTGATCACAAAACCTGGGAGATCAATCAGTCTTTTGTACATCGAGAGATATGCATCCTCTGAGTACTTGCACCTTTTTTGCACAGCATCAAACTCAGTCTGATAATACTTAATTATGTTCATCGCTGACTTTCGCGCTTCCTGAACACTGGATTATTGAAATAGTTCACATACCTCAGACGCAGATTTTCGAAACTCTTTCGTCTGATTTACCAAATTAGTTCGCGAAATGTCATTCTTTTGGTGATTTGATGTCAACTCCGATGCAACGGACTCGAGAGTTTTCTTTAAAACCAAAATGCTAAGTGATAATAAACTACTTGTAAGTCACTGAATTCCACATCTCTCCAAGAGTCGCAAACAGACGTCACAACAGATTCCATAGGCGTAACGCAACTGCCGTAAAACGCTCCACTCTTTTCCCTGTGTACAACGCCGAAGGTTTTAGAATCAGATTTAGATCTAAAATCTACCATTCTTTATGCGACGTGATGTGAACTAAATCGATATCCTAGGAACGATTCTTAGTAGGAAGGCAAAGGTTCCTAATCTTCTGCATACCTCTTAGTTCGTCCAGCTGCAAGACTGCCGTTGTGGACTCCGAGGGGAGTGGTTTCGTGTGATTTGGTTATATGTAATGATGATTAGGATGTTCGTATTTACGATACCGGAAAGAATACACCTGATAGACAGACCGACATGAAACACGCACACCGCTGAACACAAAGCTCAGGAGCTACGTAAGTGTCTTATCTTAACCAAATGAAGAGATTTAGGCGCGCATGTTAGAAGTACAAGTCCAGGATCTAATCATTCATGCTTAGTCCACTAATGTGGCTCGGCAGAGAGGATAATCACGAGTATCGCTTGTCTACGCTAACCACGTACACACCAGATAACCGATCTTGTAGCCCGCGACTTAGACGAGAGCGTCCAGAAGACGAAACGGAAAGTAACAGTGTATTTTACACAAAACGTCATGACTCAAAATATCACCGAAGATATTTCAATTCGTTAAAGGTCATTATGAACACAGTAGTGGGCGTTATTTTGCATGGGCCAGTTCCGATTGGTTTATTTCTAGGTTGGGCACCAATCACTACAACAACTGCAAAATGACTTATTATCTTGTTTTCGTTGGATTGATTTGTCAACCTGCCGTCTGTGATCATTTAAGGTAGGAGTAACATCTGGGCTCCTTTTAGTCAGTTCTGGATCGACTGCTGGTAGATGGGAAGTTTCATGTAGTAGATGCAGTGGCAGCTCGTGTCATCAGGATGTGGTATATTGAGGTTGCAGCTAGTCTTATGTTTCATCCGCCTTACATGTCCAATTTTAATCCCATGCATAAGAGTTCAATACTGGCATTCTATCAGACCTACTGTTTTGGGGCTGCTGGAAGGTTGGGTAACTTATACTACCTCCGTCCACTTGAATAGTCGTCTGCCAGCACCAACGAGGCGTCACGATAAACGCACTCCTTGAGTAAGACGTGCTTCTTCCTCTCCAACCGGAAAATACCTATTTTGTGGATTATCCGTTTGGGAAACCTGATCTTCCTAGCCGGTGGATTAAATTCAACCAATACTTATATATCAAATCTCTTTGTAGTAAGTCCAGCTGTCTCGAACTACTGCCACAGATTCAGGTGCTACTTCTGTAGCAGCATCTTCCTCACTCGTTCAGATGAAGAAGACTTGTTGGTCTACCCCGTGACTGCTGTGAAGCCGATTAACTAAAAAGTACTAGGTTATGTCGAAAACCTTTTCTTTTCCTTATCTTGTACTTAATCAGTCTTATTCTTATTTTTTGGGGTAGACACTGTTGCTGTCTTATTCTTATATAGCATAAGTTATAGCGATTGTTAATATGGCTGTTGAAAGTAGCCTTAGAAAAAGTACTAAAACACCATATTCTGTAGTCACAAGGACTTCAGCCAGAGGAGGCGATAACCCAGGGACATAAAACACATCTCGCATACCGATTCTAAAGAACCATATGCATCTCGCCTGTTTCGGTACTACGCCTAAATTGCCACAGTCTAGCACTGAAACAGCACAGACAATACTAGGTAGACATGATACTACCTGTATCCACTGGAAGCCAGTGCGTGACACACGGTAAAACAAAAAAGAAACGCTCAAGACATCATAAGACTTCGAAAGCGTCATCTAGAAAAGGAGAAAAATGTCAGGCCTGCGGTGTTATCGTTTCTAAAACTGATTCAGCACTTGATTGCAATTTTTGCAAACGATGGGTACACTGCCGTTGTGACAAACGGGTGCCAAAACCATATTATGAGTTTATGCGAAATAACCCGTGCCCATGGTTCTGGTACATCTGCCCACTTTGTCACCCTGGCACAGTCCCACACAGCGTGTCTGCGGATAGCAGAAACAGCACGCCACTCTAGTGTCTAGACTCATTCTCATGCAGCTCTCCACCTGATAACGCCATACTACCAAAACTTGGTAATAACAGCCCAACCGACTGGGAATACCAATCTTCATAAAGTGAGGACTCCCAAGTTTACACCTACAACATCAGTTGGAGATGGAATTGCCAAGGCACCACTTGCATGCACTAGTAAGCTTGGCAAAGGTTAGTCAGAACCTGATGAAGTCCAAAGTGACTGACCCTGCAAAGAAGGACAAGCAGCCAAAAACCAAACCTAAGTTTGAGGTCAGTCGGTCTAATTCCCTTATCCTGTTTAATGTACCCGTGTGCAATGATAGATTGCTTGAACAACGGGCCCTGTTTGATCAGGAACAGTGGTCCGATTTGTGCAACAAATTAGGCCTGAACATCAGTTTGGCAAAATTGTTCAGGCTGTAAAGGGGTGTCCATGCACCTCAAAGTGAGCCACTCTCATTAGGTGTTACACTGGGCTCTTCCGAAGAGGCTGAAAGGATACTATTGCTGCTTCAGGTACTAGCTATAGACAGGAGTTCCAGCATAAGAGTGAGACATGATTGACCATGGGCTAACAGGCGAATGGCGAGGGAGTCACCGGAACTGATGCCTTCTACCTCTATGGTCATACACCGTGTTCCGGAGCTGCAAACTGGCACTGCTTGTGAAAACACGTGCATGACGTAAAGCAATTGAGATGGCTGTCATCTCAAATGGTCCTTGGTGTTTCTGGAGCAATCTCGATTTTCCGACTACCTCGCCCCGTTCCTCTCACACTGATTAGTTCCTCAAGGCTGCTAAGTGTCAAATTCAACCCCCTGGAACAGTTGGCCCTAGTACTTCAACGGTGTTACGAGACCAAAGGGAAAATGGGAGGACACATCCGATGCTGTGAAAGTAGACCTCGAACAATAAAGAGGCAGCAAACATCCTCAAGCCTCGTTGACACTAAATCGATGTGCCACTGAGAATGACAGTCAGCATCACCCAAGTGTCCTACCCGAATACAAGGAAAAAACGACAACGGGCCGGTTCCATCGGAATCGACCAACTAGTCCCAATATTAAGTCCTCTACCAGCAGACAACGCAACACCAACTACCTCACAACAGGCTGAGGTTGTGAGACTCACTGTCAGCTGCCTGTATAGCAATGTAAGACGGCTGAGAGGGAAAGTAAGTGAACTCAGAAACCTCCAGTCACACCTACACCTTAAAATAATCATCCTTACTGAAACCTGGCTAACCTCCACTATCACCGACAACCAAATCAGTATAGGTGATATGGTTTTGGTCAGAAGAGACAGGGATAATAACGAAGGAGGGGGAGTTGCTGTATACTTTGACAAGCAACTTAAATGTGTGCGCGCAACGGACCCACCACTTATTGAACTCCCAGACTCCATATGGTGTCATTTCACCGTAGGCCACACCAAGCATTTACTTGGTGGCATCTACCAATCTCCCACCTGTGGGGCAGAGCACAATCAGCTACTGCTCAGCACTATCACAGGGATACGAGACTTGGGCTATGACCAAATCACCATTGCTGGAGATTTCAATACCCCATCACTGAACCTTGGCTCGGGGTATGCTAAGGGAAAATTCGGCCGAAATCTACTGCAAACTATTCGGAACACGGGACTGACTGAGAATGCTGGAGACGATACTAGGTGGGGCCCTTGTGGAAAGTCATCAAAACCAGACCACATTCTAGCTAGTGACCAACTACTCGTCGAAAAGGTCCAGATCATGACTCCTTTAGGAAGCAGTGACCACGCAGTCATAGGTTTCGATCTTGTTCTCCGTGAGCACTTGCACGGGGAGTTACGCGACCATGTCTATGCTATAACAAGGCTGACTATGCTGAAATGCGGAGGCTTTTGTCCGACTCAAGAGGTACTCAACGTATTCTGCAAGCAAAGCGTGAGGCTTGGTTTACGTGGCGCATATCCAAGAGTCAGATCGACCACGACGCACACCTGGAACTCAGGAACCGGTGCAACGCGAGATTCAGGAGTGACAGGAGGTCATTCCAGGCTAATCTTGCCAAAAAACTCCTGGCGAACCCCAAAACTTGTATCGATTCATGTCGGAAAGAAAACCAACCAACCAGTGGGAATTCGCCTTAGTAGGTTCGAATGGTCAATATCTCACTAGTCTGGAGATGATCGAAACATTCAGTTTAGCCTTCGACAAACAGTTAAACAGCAATGTGGGTATTACTGACACGGACCAAAATGGCGGCACTACTATTTCACCGGAGGAGAACCTAGTGGCTACTTGCGAAATAAACTCGGCAATAGTACTAGTACAGAGACTCACATCTGGAAAGTTCCCAAGTTGTGATGACATCAGACCATGTGTTCTGAAACAGTGTACCGAAGCTCTCTCTAGGCCCTTACGCGGTTTGTTCCAGCAATCGATGGATTCAGTGGAAACGCCAAGGGAGTGGGAAAGAGCCATCCTTTCTCCGATCTTCAAGGGTGGGGATAGGCAAAATACCACTAGTTATAGACCAGTAGCCCTACTCCCAGTGGTTTCAAAAGTACTGGAAAGCAAAACTGATGAACACATCAGGGGGCACCTCGATAGGACCAAAGACTCCACGAAGCCCAACACGGTCTCAGGAAATGCAGATCCTGGGTAACAAACCTATTATCAGCTTGGGACGATTGGACATCATGCTGGGATATGAATGTTCCAGTCCATGTGGTCTTCCTAGACTTTGAGAAGGCATTTGACACAGTTCACCATGACTCTCTCCTACACAAAATAAGTGAGGCAGGTATAGGTTAGCCGCTTCTGTCATGGCTGAAGGACTACGTAGCTGAAAGGAAATTTTGCACTAAGGTCAGTTGAGTCCGATCATCTTGGCACAGTTCGTCATCAGGAGTGTCGCAGGGCTCTATCCTAGGGCCAGTGATGTTTCTGACTTTAATCAGCCACCTACCATGCCGTTAAAGCTACCCGGCTCTTCTGACGACGTGAAGATATGGAGGGCAATAAAGTG